TCACCCAGACAGTGTGCAAAGAATACAAATGACAGTGAAAGAGATCTAATTTGCCCGCGAGTTGTTCTTGGTGGTAGAACAAGGTATTAAAGCGCGTTTTGCTAAAAGCATCACAATAAATCCAACGTGTGAAATGTGAAATTGTCTAATTTGAATATTCACGTGTGCGCGTAAATTTATTCAAGAAATAAACGACTCTATTCGATTATCATGGAAATGTATCAAGTAATTTAACACCAAGTGCCTCCAAAGAGCTACGGTGCCCTGTTTGCAATGGAAGTCCACGAGGAAGACGTCGCTTCCGAGTGATTCACGCGCGAGAATGTTCAGCATGAATTCACGGAGTTATTGGGAGATTAAGACGCAGTCTTGACTGGGCGATAAGATTAATGTGGAATAAAGAAACATTGGATTGTTTTGTCTCTTTGTCGTCGCGCTGGAGTGTCAATTTTTGGACAAAGAAGAAATGAGAGCATCTGAAGAGATTTGCGATGAAGAGAGGGAGAGAGAGAGAGAGAGAGTGGATGGAAACGTCTGTGTAACTCGAGGACTTATTTTTCATCCCAAGTGCCTTCAGCCATCAGTCCGTGTAGATAACAGTGCTTGTCTTTTTCTTCAGCTGGTGCAACTGCTGAGATTATCGATCCGTCTCGAAGCAGAGGCCATACTTATCGCTCCCACTCGCACATGCACTCAGGCAAATGCTTGGCAACAGGGGCTGAAAGACACCACACTCTTTCGTGTGTGTAGCACGAATCTCTGGGTGCACACAAATCCTTCGGATGACTGTCCCTCGGCCAAATGCCGCGCCGTATCTGCGCCCATGGGACTCTCCCTCTCTGGATGATGGTATCGTGTGACTCAATTGGCGGTGGGTGCGTGTGCAATGGATTTTTCTGGGTTGCTGTGTGGTGTGTTCAATTGAGTGCTCCCGTTGTCAACTGTGGTGAAGCCCAAGAGGCACAAGAGTGCATCGCTGGCGGTTTATTGAACTCTGTGTAGAACATCTCGCAGCTGAGTATCGTCTGTGAGCTCCTTGTTGTGTGTACAATTTAAATATAATGTATATAGAGTCAGCAATGGAGCGCTCTGTTTTTTCTCTGGTTCACTCGCCTCGGCTCTGTGCCCGTAGAGGAGACGCAGCTCCAATTTACAAAATATATCTCCTTATATCTCTTTCTCTCGTTCTGTATATTGAATTTATAAGAGTGTATACACATGAATTTTGTACACATCTGCGTTTCTGCCGATTGATTGTCTCCCCGTCTGCGGCCAGAGGAGGAAATTCCGAGGCGCTGAACAAAGATTCACGCCTGAAAATCTTCCATCCTCTTCGTCTGTCTTTTCAGCAATATTCTAAACATCTCTCGCGCTGGAGAGATGATCAGCCGTGTGTGCCCTCATTGACAAAGAAGTCACCTTCAGTGGGAAGGTTAAATGCATAATAAAATTTTCTGGCTGTGGAGCGCGAAGACGACGAAAAAGCACATCCACAAAAAGGAGACGCGCGCGCGGGAAAAAACCAGCAACACAGAAGAAAAATCTTCAGTGACATCATTAAGTCCACTTCTTATTCTCACTCTCCATCCCCACTCCGTATTGTTCTTATGTGGGGCTCTCTCCGTGTTGGAACAGTGATAAGGAACTTTTGTTTGCGATAAAGTCAAGAAGTTTCGCTCACGAGGGGAGAAAAATATTTTTTTTCCGTCTCCCATAACATTCATCGTGGACTCTTTGTGCCACCTTCTCGTGGTCACTGCCACTTGAAATTGTCTACACTCAATATTATTTCGCGAAAATCGTATATTTGTCACGCGCGTCGTGGAAAAGTCGGCAGAGGCAGCCAGTGACGATGATCACGTTGCTGCCTTGAGTTTGATGGTGAATCCACGGCGTGTCGCCTTCGGACTCCTGCTGTAAAAAGCCAGCACTCGCAGAGTTTTTTTCACGGCGAATCTTCCATCTATTAGCTACAATTTGTTGTTCTTTGTGCCTGAGTGTATACATGAGGAGTGGTTGAGTGACTAATCAAAATCAGACCATCGTCGCGGACACACAAGAATATTTTTGCCCCCTTTTCATCTCACTCACACTCGCAGCGCAATTTGTATTATTAATAAACAAGCCCGAGAAAGAGGTGAATAATAATTCCTCCTAAAGTGTGCGCTGTATGGGTGCTTGCGCATCAATATGAACTTCTTGAGGCGGAAAGATTTCCGAAACTTTCAAGAGCTCGAGCGAAAATTACATTTTAACCAGAAATGACTTTTTCTCACATCTGCTACACAATGAGACTCCTAAGGACAAAATTTTGGTTCTACATTATCTGATATATCTAATGTTTATTCGCAAATTACCATGTCGATAAGTTTGCAATTTTCTCTTAAAATCTACTTTTTCTCTTGTGGTTTTTATCGCAAACACCGATTTTCCTCAACATGTTATTATCTTGACATGTGCCAGTAAATCAATCATTTTTTTCAGTGTTATTTTTTAGTAAATTGAATAAGAACTTTTGAGAAACAGCAGATATTGTATAATTTTCACGAAACTTTCGGACCCTAATGTTGTGATTTGAATATAGCCGAAGAGAGGAAAATCTGGTGAGTGTGCTTCTTTGGTTCTTGGCGAGTATCGCACAAATGGAGCAATTGCCAAGCATGAAGACGAGGAAGAATGTATGGGTGAGAAGTGAATCGAAGGCGAGGATGAGCACAAAGAAGTGGCCCAAGAATCGTCGCGCTCGAGCGCGGGGAAGCATCAGAGGAAGGAGTAATTGATGATGATGATCTGTGCGCCATTCTCTGGCCACTTACGGTATTGTGTGTAATTCCATTTCATCGGCCGGCGGGCGGCCTGTTTTTCCCGCTACGCCGTGTCCAAAGTGATTTAGATGGCCTCTCCACGGCTCAGAGCATCCCAGCCCAGCGTTATCTCAGCCGCTCCGCGCATGATGTAAACTAGGCCACTGGCATTTCGCTTTCGTTGAAAACTTGTTCTCTTCGACTCTTTTGCCCAACACAATTGTGTGTTGCTGTGCGTTCTGCTGGCGTGTCGTCTCTATTTTCTCTCTCGATGAGCCACAATTTCGATCTCGATGCTCCCGCACTGACATCATCGCGGGTCCATGGAGGAGAGCCGCGCGAGAGGCGGATCCGACATGCTAAGCGCGGACGCGGATGGTGGATCTTCGAAGGTAGTAAATCACTGTGAGGACTGCGCGAGTGTGTGCCTCGTCATTTGAATTTCAGAAGATGCTGGCGCATATTTTACCATGAGAATAGAAGGGTGTCGAGCGAAATGGCTTTTTTGTGGGCTCTCGCCGTCCTGGTCAAATGTCATCGGTGGCGGCGCGAGGAGAATCTGTGCGAGAGCTAATTTCTTGTAGAGTGTGTCCGCAGCCTTCGCTATGGCTGTTTTCACAACACAAATTCATGGTCACCTAGCAAAGACGTCAGTTATGGCAACAATCGTCGATCAGTTGAATAATTGTGTGCGCCTCTCTTGGGTGCTTATTCAGCAAATATCGACGTCTTGCGAGCCTCCCATGTGTCCGAGCCTCGACCGAGAATTGTGTAGTAACAACTCATCGCAATTGCTGCCTCTCCAGCCAAACGTTCATTACCAAACGCAGACATGCACAGTCACGAGGAGATGGGGCACTAATCATATGACCGGGCCCGGAGGAAAGGGTTGTGGGGACTGGAGGCGACCATGCGAGGTGATACCAAAGTCACAGCGACATTCTCAGAAATGTGCCACTCTCGTATCTCGTTGCCTGGGCATTCCTTCCCAAGAATTTATCACCAAGAGAGGTGATTACATCATCCGCAGAGGCGCGCACTTCTTCCCATCCGCGATCGGGCGATGCTGCAGCCAGGAGGAGCGATGGGGGCGGCAGATCCGATGATTAATGGACTGAGAAGACCAGTGGCAATTTTTGGCTCCGGCTCACGCTGCACTCTGGGCCCAAATGTCTCAAATGTGTGCCTGTACTTTAAGCGTTTGCAACGGATGTCATCGTGTTTGTCGGCTGCGGTTTTCAGTCCAAGGTTACTTAAGTGTGCGGTGGTCTTCATTGCTACATTATTACTTTTTTTCTCTCGTCAATTCTCTGATACTGCCATGTTTCTCTGTGTTGTTTTTCCCACTTATCGCCAACTCTATCGCCACATCATTGCGATGCACACAAGACGTGCGAAGTGGGCTCCTCCGGATTTGGCCGGAAGTGACTTTGGGATGGCATCAAGGGGAGACAGAGCAGAGGACCATTGAAATGATGATGTGGCTCTGCTCTTTGACTCTGTGGGCCACACACAACAAAAGAGAGTCACAGGCGCGTTGTGCAAGAGATTAAACAGAGAGCCAGACCCGCGCCAGAACTCCCGGAGTGAACTTTTTCTGGGTTGCCATTCTACGCCGTAAGTCGGATGGCAACGAAGAGTGGCGACTTGGGTAATTCTCTCGCTCACCAGCTAAATATGCCACACAAAGCCTATAAAAGTGCCCCTTCCGCTCTCGCTCTTGGGGCCACACTTTTTATCAGCCACATCAAATCGAGCTTAACACTCACACAGCCGCGCACAGGCCAACTGATAAGGGGGCCACTCCAGTAGGTGCGGACTGGAGTTGTGAAAGAAGCCACCATATACTTTGTACAATCCTCTCGCGATTCGCGGAATGCCAGGCGGAGCGATAAATCAGCAAAAGTCGAGTGGGTGATGCGAAAGAATTTCGCCGTCATGCGAGAGTGAGGAAAATTCATCGGTGAACCTCCGCGATATTGTGGTACCCGAAAGTGTAATTCACAAATTTGCTCTCAATTTCCCCTCAAGCCACACATCAACGTGCTTCATCAGAAGTGTTTTTGAGAGCTATTTAATTATTTTTATTGGCAGAGTCCATCTCACTCGCACCGGGACTCTCTTACACTAGTATGCCCCCCTATTCGCTATGGTTATATCTAGAGAGAGAGCTAGAAAAGTGATTCTCAAACTCACATTCTACGTCCAATAATATCCTCTGACTGCGATGAGTGGCACACGTGTATGGCCAAAGTGGAGCTCCTGCTGCTCTTGTGTTGCTTCACCAGGGAAGGCAGGGGCTTCGGCGGGTATGGCACAATTTTCTGCCTCTCCGCTATGGCTCTGTATGTGTGTTAATTGAGCGGAAAAAGGCACACAAGTCACTAATAAATTCTTTCCAAAAAGACTCTCATTTAAAACGGATTTCTCACTTTTCTTTTCACTCTTTCACACAAATTTGGCGAGTAAACAATGTCGGAAAAAATACTTGTGGTCCGAGCACTTCTTGTCGCACCGCGCACGAAAGGGAAAGTTCCTGAGCCAATACAATAGGAGAAATAAGAGGATGTCCTCCTCCAGGGAGGCGAGTCCAAAGGTTGACAGAGTTCTCCAGCACTGATTCCGCAGCACACAGCACGTTTCACTGGGTGGTTGGTGTGGAAATGCAAGAAAATGTCTTTCACAGAAGCTGTTCTGTGCTGAGAGTGAGAGAGAGTGAGAACGGAGTCTCTCTGAGTGAGAGTGAATAATGCTTTTTGGGAGGAATTATGGTGTGGTGGAAAACAGTGCGCTTTTCGTGTATTCGCCTTGGTGGTTCTCGAACGACTGTGAGACTGAGGGAACATCGAACATTGGACACTCGATGTGTGATGAAGACACTCAAGCAATCAAGCCAGCAGCCAGCACACAGAGGACGATATATTCACATAGCCACATATTCTGGGGTACCACACATCTTATACATAAAATCCAATATATTATTTCAACTTGATTGCATACAAATATACCCAAGATGTTACAAACTTCAGCACACTCCGCACTGGAGTTGATCTTGCAGCCATGAGCACAATACCAGAAGCATCAACTGAAGACTCAGTTTCGCTCAGAGCAAAAAATCCCCTTATCGCACACGCTGCATCCTCTCTGACCCTTCCCTCCTCCTCTCGCCAGAGCGCTGCTCAAATCTCAAAGAATCAACTCGCACCGTCAGATGAGATGCACGCCACAATAATTGGTCTTCTAATTCGTCCCGGTGAAGCCTGCTCACTCTACGCGACTCTGTGATTATTGCGCCGATCAAGGTGTGCAAATAAAATTTTGAGAAACCTAGAAAGTTCACCAAACCGCGCTAAATTCATTTATATTTAGTTTATTCATATGTTAGGTGTCATTTACCTTGATTTTGATTTTCAATTTAAATGGTTTGTCACAATACTTCCTAGTCAAGACATTTTGAGAGCCACAGTCTTATCGACTGGATATTTATCTATAATTTTTTTTTCTTTAAATTAATAACTTTAGCGTTCATGCTACTTTACACTTTAACACCTAAAAAGCGTTATCATTGAATGATTTCTGTATAAGTTTAACTGAGAAATAAGTAAATGCAGCTTCTTAAGGGCTCTGAGAACGTTCATCTAATCTCAACAGCTTACAATATCTGTGATTCTTCGGCATTTCATCTCGGTGCAATAAGAGGTAATCATTGATGCGCTTTTCAATGCATTGTGTGGAAAACCCATGTACAATGGGAAAGGTGAAAAAGGTGTGAGTGAGAGAGAAGAGGAAAGATAAAAAAAGAAGTCCACGAGACCTTCCCACACCACACATGAAAAGAAAATTAACGCGCGCGATTTTCCACACAAATTTGTGGCAATTAAAAGCGATTCGCGCGCATTTGTTACATAAAAACAACACTCAGCGGCGGGCTCCACTGAAAATTGCTTTTCACTCCATCCACCTTCGCCGGCCGTCGGGCTGGCGGGGGAGCCCCGGCACTTCTGTAAGAACGCAGATTGAGAATCAGAGTGATGGGCATGTCGAAAGTGCAAGAGGCGAGGCGGGAGTAGAATGCTGTAGAGGTGGGCAAATAGCAAATTGCTCTATTCACAAGAATTAATAAGCCCAGCGATTCTGCATTCGCCAGCACACCAAGTGTGTGATGTGTTCTAGCGTGTGCTGGGGGCAGAAAGAACACGCTCAGAAATGTGAGGCTTCTGCTGGGCTGAGAGGCGCACATTGGAGGCCATCCAATCGGGAGAAAAATTTATTCAACAATCTCACAGGTCTATTTGAATGAGCACGAGCTGAGAAAACGTGATATAATACCATCGGCAACGCGCCTCTCTCGCTCTCTCTCTCGCTGTATCTCTTCCCAATCGAATGCATACTGACGACTGTTGGCAATTTCCGTGAAAATTTCCACGAGGAAATTCCACGATCCCTCTCCTGTTCTAAATTTGCCAAAATCGGCGTTGCTCCAATGAGTGAGACGCTCGATGTGGGTGGGAAGCAAGGTGAAGCTCTTCTCAGAATTCTGTACATTTCTCGATGCACCTTCCTTGAGAAAAAGAGAACTTGGAAGCGCAATAGAATTTTCCTGGAAAACGATTCCAAGAACACAGCACACTATCTCATTGAAATTGATTTTAATTCACTTTTAGAGTATTCTTTTCTTTGTCCACTACTTGCGCTCAATGTGACTCTTCTATAGGAAACTTTCTGCATCAAAAGATGTGACTTTCAGAACTTGGACTCCTTTGAGCGTTGAAGAAAATTCTCTAATAAATGAAAACTGTATAAGCAATGAATGGAAACTACATTTTAATCAACTCCTCTGGAGTTTGTGGCCTTTCAGACGTTCCCGAGAATGGTTTCGTCATCTCAATGGAAATTTTGCATCACCTTGAAAGTGGCCACTCTCGTGCTGCTGGAGATGAGAGGGGAAAGCGCCCTCTGTTCGGCACTTCTTAGTTCACCCGTTTGGCCCATGGGAGGGCAAAGAAGTGAGCTCCGAAGTGAATGTGGTGGCATCGAGTGTTAGCGTATGAAATTGTGTTAATGATGGTGATGACGATGATGGCGGAATCCCAAAATAGATTGTCTGCGCCAGCAGCAAAATGTACGAGTCCGCTCGTCAACTCAGCCAAAAAGCCAGAAGAAGAACCAGAGTCACGGCGAGTGGAATGGCACGGAGTTCTGTGGATTCACATGCCAAATAGATATAAAAAGTCGGCTCGGGGATGTGTGAGTGGGTGAGTGGGTGGGCAGGAGAGCATCTCAGCCTCCTCCCAGGGACGACGGTGTGTCGGGCGGAGTGGGACGGGGTGGCGGAGGCGCAAAAAGGGGGAAATGCCCCGATTTCGCTTCGCAATGCCACCTTGGCGAATCACAAAGGGAGTTTGGAGATCGCAAAAATCAATATCGTGCCACCTTCCACGGCAAATTGATATCCGCCATGGGGAAGATGCGGGGGAAGTGCGCCTCTCGTGTGTTCAGCCAATTAGGCGGAAGAGAGGAGAGAAGCTCTCGTCATGCTGAGGTGTTTCTTTTTGCCAAGAATTCATCGAATGAGTAGATGGAAAGAGGAAATCGCGAGATAAGATTCTCCCTATCGTGTAAAGAGAAAACGAATTTGATCCATGCCAAGAGTGATGTTGACATTTTCTACCCTTGTTTTAAGATTCAATCTTGACCTATAGCGAAAGGCACAATTTTCAGGAGCTGAAATTTCACATTTTTTTTCTATTCGTTTCATGGAAACAGGCAATGTGATCCAATTGAGAAGCTACGTAGGTATAAAGGTTAATTGATAAAGAGAAAAGTATTTTGGTCATTTTGGTCTAATGCTATCACAGAAATAATCCAATTTTGATTCATCCAGAAAAGTTATTCAAGATTTCATTTGAATCTTAAACATTCATATTCCAAGTTGGAGTATAAAATCTCAACTCCATATTAGCTAATCAGAGTTGATTGTTACGGATCCTTTGAAAACTTAATTAGCATTTTTACCATTTTTTTTTTTATTATAACAATTATTAGGTACTCTGATTGCCATAATTTTGGTATATTGATTGACTGATTTGATCTCTCGTTGGCACTTCTTTCTCACTTTTGTTCTTCAGTCGGTGGTTTTTTGTGCCTTATCGCCAATACTCATTTCCTTGATTTTTTGCCACTTCGTGGTCGCCTGGGCCACGGAGTGTCCTTCCAGCTGTCCCAGGGAAGGGAGGGCGAGGCGGTGCAAAAAGCGCTAAGCAATTCTTTCGGCTCTCGCACGATAATCTCATACGAGCATCTCAAGTGTGGTCGCCTTCTAACGTGTGGCCCCAGAATTGAGGAAAATTGCACACAATCTCAGAAAAGCTGCCTCGTATGATGAGTGAAACTCTGTGCGACGTTTTTGTACTTAGTCATTACTTTTGATTGCCACGGAATCTGCCACGAAAGGCACACAAACACCACAATTAGTCGTATGTACATATGGTAGCCAACAATTTTCAGGGACACAGCGGCGCTGAGGATGATGGTGGGACTGTGTGGCGGATCGCGAGCGCGGAGCGACAGAGAAGTCGTATTGTGTGCCCCCGACGACACTCTGTGGTCGCCCCGCAGAAAAAGAATTGAGCACGCTTATCGCTTATCACGTGGCTTTAATGTGGCCTCAACGATGACGACTCTTGCAAAAGGCAAACATCGCACCAGAGCGATTCGCTGTTTTTTTCCACCGATGGCCACAAGAGTCTGTGCGCGATGTGGAAAAGCCCACCAGACCTCTGGCCAGAGCCACTGACAACAGAGTGCCGGAGACACAATTACAGCGGAGAAAAAATGTGGAGCAAGACATCTCTGGTCACTCCGTGTGAGAAAAAGTCTCGCCAGAATCGCTCTCCGCCAGCACTTGTTATCACCCAGCCGCAGAAGAGCGCCTCTCGGGGAGCATTGGTGTGTGTGTTGTAGCAAATTACCCAATTCCAAATTGGGTCATCTCGCGCTTGTAATGGCAATCAAATGGCGCGCTGTGGCAGATGAATAGTGGGTAAAAAGTGTAAAATAAAGAAACTGGAATTATCTACACAGCGCGCGAGATGCTAGAATCTAAAGAGAGTAGATTACCTCGACTATTTCGAGCTTGCAAGTGCAGAGAGATCAGCGAAGATCACCATTTACGATTGATCTCATATGGGATCACTCAATTAGACGATGCACTTTTGCCAAGATGAACAAGATCTTCTTTCCTCATGGTCACTCCTTATTTCTAGCTCGAGAATCGAGGGAACACCGCTGGAATCATGGACACTCGATCGTGGCGTTGTTCTCTTCGCTCTCGAAGCTGTTGAGAATCTCACGAAATCATCACGTCTCGATAATCTGAATTCAAGGGAAACTTTTGGCTGGACATAAATAGAATAGGGGAGAGAGGAGCAGTTTCGTCACAATTTAAAAAAATGACTTCAAACGCAGTACAACTACAGTTTTCCTGTGTTTTCACTCTTCTGATTTAATATGTAGGCTGACTTCTAAAATTAGTCTTACGCATCTTCCCAAACCTAACCCAAATCTGCCTCATTCTCACCTAAGCTCATTTTTTTTACTGAATCAATACAATAAATTATAATGTTTTATGTTAGGTCTGAACAATCATGTTGTTCACACAGTTGTTGTAAAAAATGCCTGTTTATGCATGCATGCATTTAAATAAGTCGACTATAAATTTATCTCGAAGCAATGTGTGTCTTCTTCAATGCAGTTTCAGTTCAAAAACAAGCTGCAAGATGAATAATAAGAATTCTCCAATTCTTACCATTAGCAACTCATGAAGGGGTCAAACAGCGCCACAAACGCGAGCTCCCCATTTAACCACCAGCGTTGTCCATTTGAAAGTCGATGACAATGCCATGACCTTTTATCGATTGACCCCACGGTCGAGCCGTTACTTCTTCGCCGACCATCAACAAATACACGCACAGATCGTCCATGCAAGTTTATTTAATATTTCACATCGCACCTCTCCTCACACGTCCGACATTCTCGAGCTGTGAACGATCAAAATCAAGTAGTAAACGAAAAAAAATACCGGAGAAATTTCTCTAGAGCGTGATAAAAAATATAACAATGGGAGAGTCTTTGAGAATTACTGCGTGTGGCATTGAACGCCACCAGTTGCACCACCGCCGAACGCCTCGTCGTCGTCATCCTCTTGGCCACCGGGAGACTGGAATGGGTGGCTTCCAGCGAAATTCATGTCCTCCAAGTCGTACATATTGACCTCCTCCACATTTTCGCCTTGGGGCATCACAAAATCTGGGGCGGGCGGAAGGATGCGCTTCAGCGTGTCAATATGTTCGCTGCTCAGGCTAGAGCTGTCGGGATACTCCACGGAGAATCGGACCAGGAGGTCACCCTTCTCGAATGGACGGCTCAGGCAAGGCATGCCCTCGTTCTTCACAACCATCAGGGAGCCGGACTTGATCACTTCGCCCGGAGAATTGTGGATGTGCAGCTGCCGACCGTCTAGGTGCTTGATCAGAGTAGTGTATCCGCAGAGAGCCTCCACGAGACTGATTGTCTTCTGAATCACAAGATTGTCCTGCGCCCGCTGGAACTCCTCATGCTCGGTGTAGTCCAACACGGCCACAATATCTCCGGCCAAGTGACCTGGCAAGTGATTCCCTTCGCCGGAGAACTCAATCTTCTGCATGTTGCGCATCCCCGGCTCGATGCGCACCTCCACCGTTTTGTCCTCCGTGAGAGTGCGATTGCCGCTGCACTTCCCACACTTGTCCTCCTCGCTGAACACCTTCCCTCGGCCACTGCACGTGGAGCACTCCGTGGAGACGCGATTGATGAAGAAGCCCATCTGGTGGTGTTCATACTCGACTCCGGTCCCTTTGCAATTGTCGCACTTGTGAATCTGGCTGCCCTCCTTTGCGCCCTCGCCACCGCAGTCCTCGCACAGCACCTCACGCCTCACATGGGCGCTCTTTGTCAGGTTCCCATTGTACAGATCCTCCAGAGTCACTGCCACGCGCACCAGAAGGGGTTCACACTTCGCCATGCCACCCTGTCGGTTGAGTCGCGAGAAGATGGACATATTTCCGAACATATCGTAGAAGTCCTGCTCCTGCTCCGCTCCGGCATCCTCCTCCTCTCCCTCCTCGGCCTGGCCAAACTCATCATACCACTCCCGCTTGCTGGGATTACTGAGAATCTCATAGGCGTTCTGGATCTCGCTGTAGCGCTCCTTCCCGTCCGGACTGTTGTCCTGACGCTGCTGCTTTGTCAAATTCTTAAAAGCCTGCAAGAGATTCATGCTGATCAGCTGGGAAAATGCGGGAAATCGCGAGCGAAATGAAAAGCAATCGAAATGGGTTGGTCACCACAAATCGAAGCGCACCTTTCAAGACGTTGGCCAAAATACCTTCTTAATCTCCGCTTGAGTTGCCGTTTCTTTCACTCCCAGCACTTCGTAAAGATTTCTCTTGGCGGACATGGTGTTTTCTTTAAAATTTTCACTGAAAATACTGCACAACACTGACAATTTTCTCCACCTGCTGTCAAATGACCAATCAATGACGCAATAAATATCAGCTGATGCCCGAAGTTTGACAGTTGCTCAGTTTGCTCGGTTCGCCACTCAAGAGGAATTAAGAACTTTGGTATTTTCTTGGATGTTTTCCTAGTTTTTCTCGTGATTTTTTTTTACTCTGTGCAATCATGAATACAAGCAAAATAGTCACTTTCAACCCCATTATCAGTTCCATCCAGAAAGTGGCTCTTTATGAGACGAAAAGCGTAAGAACTTCTTATTGTGAAAAATCTGTTGAGTTTCCTCATGTTTTCATTATATTTTCCGCAGAAACTCTATCTCATCGGAAGTAACAACCAGGAAACGAGATTCAGGATATTGGAGATTGACCGCACTAGCACTACAGAGTTGAAAATCTTTGAAAATCCCAATGAACTGGAGGTGAGAGACATCCGGAAGCTGATCAGCTCGATCGGCTACACAAAATCCATAAGTGCTTATGGAGTGTTGGGATTTGTGAGATTTCTGGAAGGCTACTACCTCATCCTTATCACGAAGAGGACGCGATGTGCGGTTATAGGCATGCACGTGATATACACCATTAAGGACACAGTTATGATAAAGATCAATGAATCTTCGACGAAGCAGCCTCATCCGCATGAGCAGAGATATCTGAAAATGTTCTCAAACATCGACCTGAGAAGCAATTTTTATTTCTGGTAACATTAATCTCTGCGAATTGCTTCAATAGACGGAGTTTAAAGTGATATTTCTTTGGATTTTGCAGCTATAGTTATGATCTAACGAGATCTCTGCAGTATAATCTGTCTGGACCGAAATTTGTGGGACCAGAAGTTGATATCAACACTGATGAACCAGTTCCAGATTGGGACAAGATGGTAAAGACTAATTTCCCACCTCGCCAAGGCAGAATTTAACGATCTTCTCTTTCAGAGACCGACTGGGGTGGACAAAGGTGTAGAATTTGCCTTCAGAAGCATCTCCAGGAAGAGATTTGTCTGGAATTCCTTTCTCCTGCGTCCCATGGAACACATTCTGCACAGGGATTGGCTCCTGGAAATCATCCATGGCTTCATCAGCCAGTCGAATATCAATATCTTCGGGAGATCAGTTTATGTGTGTCTGATCGCGAGGAGAAGCAATCGATTTGCCGGGACGAGATTCCTCAAGAGAGGCGCCAATCACAAGGGAGACGTGGCAAATGAGGTGGAAACTGAGCAAATTGTTATGGACGGCCGAAGGATGTGCGGTTTCATTCAGATGAGAGGATCCATTCCGTCTCATTGGTCTCAGGATATCAGCAAAATGGTGCCAAAGCCTCCGATTTCGCTGGATCTAGCCGATCCCTACGCAGAGACGTCTGCGAAACACATTGAGAGGCTGCTTTTCCACTACGGAGCTCCTGTGATAATCTTCAATCTCGTGAAGAAAAGGGAGAAGAGGAAGCACGAAAGCATTTTGACTGAAGAGATGCTATCCAGTGTGAAGTACCTCAACCAGTTCCTGCCTCCGCCTCATAAGATCAAGTACATCCACTTCGACATGGCGAGGAAGAGTCGAGGAGATGGAAATGTGATGAACAGCTTGGCGGATATCGCTGAGAATGTGATTCAGCAGATGGGAATGTTCCTGTACGATGGCGATGAGTCTCAATTGTACCAGACAGGGATTGTTAGGGTGAATTGTGTAGATTGTCTGGACAGGACCAACACAGCGCAGTTCGCGATTGGAAAGTGCGCTCTGGGTCACCAGCTTTGCCAGTTGGGCTTCATAGATCCGCCAAAGTTGGAATTCGACTCGGATTGCGTGACGATGCTTGAGACACTGTATGAGGATCACGGAGACACGCTGGCTCTGCAGTATGGAGGATCTCAGCTGGTGCACAGGATCAAGACTTATCGCAAGACGGCGGCCTGGACCAGCCAAGGCAACGATATCATGCAGACACTGAGTCGATACTACAGCAACACGTTCAGCGACACAGAGAAGCAGCACAGCATCAATTTGTTTCTCGGCTATTACGTTCCACATGAGAACGACTCGAAGCAGAGCTCGGCTATCTGGGAACTTCCGACTGACTACTACATGCACAACATTCAGAGGCGCGAGATGGGCAGATCATCAAGGGATTCCGCGCCACTCACCGAGTGGGTGAGGCCCATTGTGATGCGGAATCTTCCGTATTCTACGAGCGACTGCAATAAGATCGTCTCTGAGCTGATAAGAGTGCACAGTAAGCATGTGGAGATGATTGATTCCTACTCCAATTATCATCTTCCGCACAAGTTGACTGCATTTGATGAGCACATCGCTTATCAGATAAGCTACTTGGCGAGAAACTTCGTGAGAACCTTCCGGACAAACTTCAGTCCCTTTGAACCGGGAAAACACGAGAGGAGCACCAGTTCGAAAAATCCCTCTCTAACTGGCCAGAGCAGCACGAGTTCCACTACAAGTTCCACAAGTTCAAGCATGGACGAGGCCTCTTCGTCGGATGAGGAGCCTCTGTCGGATATCAAGACGCAGAGTTTGAGCGGGAAACGCGAAGCAATCGCTACATCTTCCCTGAAAGCCACTCTTCCATCGACGCTTGACATTTACGGCATGGAAGTGAAGAAGCCCGACAAGAAGAACTACGCTCTGTATAAGAAATACGTTCAAATGGCCAAACAATCCATGCCTTTGGCAGAGGAGAACCAAGTGAGGAACTCTCAAATGACTGGCCAGAAGAAGATCTTGGGATGTATTCAACTGACGCCTCTCAGTGATTTCAAGAAGGATTCTTATGAGAGCGTTGAACCTCCCACGGTTCCTCAGGTGAGTGTTGATATCTACAGAAATTACGTTGACTCCTATTCCACGCTCTTCACAAAAGACATCGAGAGTGCAAACACTCGTGATGTGATAAGCAAATATGTGAATTTTTCACTATAATGTCACAATAAATATTCCTTTGTCAATTGAAACAGTGTCGTTAGAAAATTCTTATAAAAAATAATCTTTATTCTCTTAAAATGGAATGGAATAGTTGGATGGATTAATTACAATTTATCTTATCAACTGGAGTATATTTTACACAAGAATTATCACAATTAAATGCAAGAAAAAAATGCAAAAATTGCTTTTACAGTTACGAATCTCTATGCGTTAATTTGAACTCTCGACTGTCCTAAAACTATATGTTCCTTAACTAAATGCTTCGTCTATATGTACAATTGTACACAAGTCCTATCGGCGATTCTGGAAGCGCGACATGTAGGCATCACAGTCAGCACAGTACATTGCCGGAGCAATGACGTGCTTCTTCCGGCACAGATTGCACTGAATGGCCTTTGCAGAGGCCTTCACGATGGCAGTGCTGTTATAGGTGGAAATGGCCACGCGCTGCGGCACTGTGCCGGTTACATACTCTCCGGTAGGACTGAGTTGCGGCGTCCCAGGACTTCCAGTCTTCGTTCCGGGTTCGAAGCTGACTTTCTTGGGCGGCTGTGCGAACTGTTTCACTGGTGGCTGGGCATAAAGGTGCGCCTGAGCGGGCTGATCCAGCGGAATGTTGCCTCCGTGGACAATGGGAACGCTCTGATAGGGATAGCTTGTGAATTGGTTGTTGGGTGGCGCCTGGAAGTTGGCTGATGGAAGCGGTGGTTTCTGGTAAATGTTGGTGTTGTGATTTCCCCGCAGTGGCAGCATGTAGCCATTGGGTGGATGCATGAGTCTCTGCTGCATCGCGGGGTGAATTTGTCCATTCGGAGGGAAATTCATGTTGCCCTGGGGCTGCTGTGGCGACAGGGGCACGTGCATATAGGGCGAGGCCATGTAGCCATTGGTCATGCCCGGGTATTGACTCCTCACACCCATCTGAGGACTTCCCGTGTACTGATGATTGGCGGTGCCTGGCGGGACACTAAATCTCTCCATCCTCTTAGTCTCCTGCATCAGCATGGCTGAGAACTTCTGGTTCTCCTCCTGCTGCAGTTGCAGTTGCCTCTGCATCTCCTGATTGGGCGTGGGAACACTCATAGCTTGGAAGTTGTGCATATTTTGCAGTTGCTGCTTCATGTGTGCCGCTCTCTGTGCATCCATTGAGTAGTAGTTCTTGATATCAGGCTTGGGCGTGCTGAGATTCACTGGGCTGGGCAATTCTTGGAGCTGATTCTGATGCGATTGCGAGCCAAAGCTGTCAGGAACATCCACTCCTTGCGGTGGACTCTCAGGTCGCTTCTCTTCCTTGAGTTCAATCCTCTGGATCACTCTCGTGTCCACAACGTCAGTACCTGGATTGGGACCTCCGCCATTAATCGCTGTCCTCAGCACTCTCTCGAGAATTGGATTGGGAATAAAGCTGTCATCCTCCTCTTCATCTGCTGTGGCCACAAGAATTACATGATCACAGAATGAGACGCTCTTCTTCTTTGGTCGCTTCGCGGCCGCCTGATTGCTTCCACCATTGAGTGTTTGCTGAACCACAGCATTGAGCATCTCCACTTCTCTCAACTCCTCAGCAATTTGACTCTGCGCCACATCGTATCGCACCTTCTGCAGATCTCCAGCCATGTTGCCCACCTCGCTCTGCTTCAGCTTCGCTATCATCGGGCAATCCACCACATCAACGGAGATCTCATTGATCTTGTCAGGCATCATTTGACTCCTGGCTACAGTTGAGCAAGAGGATTGCGAGGAAATCGACATGGTCTCCGCTGTGTCCACAGAAGATTCATTCAGCAACTCCTGAGAGGAATATTGTCGCATCTGCGGCCGGGAAACTGACGTTTGCTGCTCAAAGCGAGACGCCAGGTCCTTAACACTCCTCACTGGACCTGAAGGTTGATGGAAGCCGTTCATGGACTTTGCTTTCTGCATCAACTGCTTCTGCTGCATATCTTTGAGCCAACTTAAGGATTTGCTACTCGCCATGGTGTACCCTTTGCCCTCCGGCATCTCCAGGAAGCCATTCCTCTGACTCTCCAGCAGATGCAGCTGGTTCAACTGCTCATTCAGGGGCTCCATGTCAATCGAGGGCGGCGGCGGCGGGAATTCTTCACTCGCTTGCCGCGAGTGGCAAGACGACGTGGGAGGACTCGGGTATGGAGGCAAATCCAGATTGTTTACATGATGGTCCTCTAGCGTCTTCATCGGCGTCTGCTCGTGATGCACCACTGCACAAGTGGTGATCACGGTCTGAATGGAGTCCTCACTCATGCTCGTGTTGGAGCTCATGGTGGAAATGTTGCTGGGATTGGCTTGATGGAAGGGCTGTATGGCCTGGATGTTCTCCGTTGTCAATTCCGATGGCTGTGCTTGAGTCAAGGATGAACTCTTCCTCAGAGGCGGCGGTGGAGGAACCTTGGCAACAGTCAGTTGTCGATTGCTCGTGTGGAAACTCTTCCTCATCAATTTGCTGCGCTCAAGATTGGGATTCGCAATGGAGACGTAAGGCGCCTGGTACTCCAAGTGCCCCTCGGACAAATAGCCACTGATATTGTTGGGGTTCATCTTATTATTCACCATCAGGGAAGTGTCATCGTGGGAGACAATTGTGGTCTTTATAGATCCATCAGAAGGGTTCTTCTGCTGATCATCATTGCCTGAAATAAGCAGAAAAGAAACATTTCTATTAAAACTCAATTTCCAACGGTTTCAAACATGAATCTCGGATGAAAGCATGCTAAATGAATAATATTGATGTGTGCAATTTTCTTCTCGCTTAAGCTGTATGAACATTTCACGGAAGAGTTGCTATTCTTCCAGTCAATTAGTCATCAATCAAAAAAAATTGAAGATTTGATTTTTATTGGCGTGAAATTGCAAAGAGGATGTTCTAGCTTGAGGTTCTTGTCCTCAACTCACCTTCAGTTAGGTCAGGCATTGAGCGGTTCTTCCTCCTGATCAGTCCTCCCATGAGAAGCTTCCTCCTGATCTTGTGCTGCTTCTTGTTGGACTTGTCCTTCTCCTTCTTGTCCTCCTTCTCCTCCTTGTGCTTCTTCAAAGTATCTTTCGCATTGGCCAAGAGTGGTTCAGCAATTGAAAACTCTCTGGCAATCTTATTGCGATCCTCACTTCGACTCCTCTTCTCTTTATCCTCACTACGGCGTCCTCTGCCGAAGAGACTCCGACTCTCGCGCTCCTGCTTCACAGTTTCAACACTGATAATATCATCAGTGTCCACGAATTTCAGCACGTTCTTCTTCTGTTTCGGAAGAGTGGCATAGATCTCAATGCTCTTCGCGCCCTTTTCCATCTCTTTACTTGTCGAATTCGCGGTGGGATTCATCAAGTGCTTCCCCAAACTGATGATCTTATCCTTATTGCTCTGTCTCATCTGCCGGAGGCTGGAGTTGCTGCCATCTCGCGAGTGCCTCACCTCCTGGGTTAAGAGTTGAGGTTGCTGGGATTCCTTAAGAATCACCTCGGATCCCTTTTCGATCAATATCCTCCTGTGGAGGCTCCTGGCACGCATCACGCAAGTATTGTGCTTCATCCTGGCAAATGTCATCGTGTGAGGATTGCTGTAGGGCGCATCCATGGCGGCACGCGCTTTCCCAGCGGCTGCATTGCACAACACGAGAGCGGTTTCAAAGTCATGGGCATCCTCAGTCAGCCGCGACTTCTCCAGCAATTGATCTGCTTCCATGCACAGCCTTTCGCAGTCTCCAGACAGAACTACACTCTCTGGTATCTTCGCCAGCTGCGGATTGTGAGTTTTGGGCGGATAGGAGTCCGTCGAGGAGAGCGAGTAGGAATCGTAGCCGGCGTCATAGTGGATGCCATTGCGTGTTGGGCTCGGTGGGACGTTGACATTCCTCTTGCCGACGAGATACAGGTACGGATTCTCAAGGGTGGTCGATGAGGAAGAGGACGCACTGTTACGATCGCCACTCCAGTTCCCAGAGTCCCTCCGCCGAGGCTGATTGAGATGATCAGGCATCGAGAGGCCGTCATTCGGCGGATGCTGAGGATAGTGCTGCTGCGGAGGCATTCCTCCTTCCCCGTTCATCCGCGGATATTGCTGCTTCCTCATGGTTTGTGTGTTCTCCCAGCGATTGGCGTAGTCCTTCTTCTCAAGCGTCCCCATGTTTGAGTAGTCAATCTGGGCGCTGCCATTCAGTGAATTCATGCTCTTAAAGATCTTCTCCTGGATCACATTGAGATTCTGGTACTGCACTGCAGACGAGTCAAAGGATTTTGCCCTGTTGTACTCAATCGCCTCTTGCTTGGGCATCAAGTGACTCTGGATCACACTGAGGTTCTGGTAATCTGTCGTTGCCGCTCCGCCACGGACAGGAGTTGGCGTGATGGCGCGTCGCGTGGTGCCCACCTGGGGCTTCTCTTTCTCTGGCGACGGGGTCACAGCTCGCCTGAGCGATGGCACATTGGGTGGTTGCGTCATCACCTCCTGGACAGTGCCCACCATTTGCTGGGGCATCGCCTGAGGCTGTGGCGTGGCGTAGAGCAGCAACAGCGGCTGATATCGTCCCCTGCAGCACTTCTCCACCACACCTTCCCAGTGAGGCCCCACTTCCTTCACGTTGGCGTCGTCAAAGTACACCCAAACCCGCAACTTCGTGTGAAAGAAGAAGGTCGTGTAGTGTTTCCCGTAGTATGTAACCACACCGACGAGCTCGTGATCCACACTCTGCGCCCAACGACTGTCCGAAACCTGATGGAAGACATCGCAGAGCCTCAGGCTTGTGCCGATCGACTTGAGGACTGAGTGCACTTGATCCGCCGGCGGGCGTTCAGAGTCCCAGACAACGCCAATTGAGACGACGTCTGGGCGATTGAGCAAAGCTCGGCAGATCCCTATTTTGGCGCCACAGGCATTCTGCAAAGAAAGAGAGAGAAAAAACAGCTCTTATCGCTGCATCTCTGATTGATTTTAAGATTCTCCACTCTGCAAGTCATGGTAACTTGAGAGTGCTGTACATCTTTTGCAATGGAATTGCAAAATACCATTAGTCAAGATGAGGCATCTTCGATCACGAAGCTAAATTTAGGGACTTATCGAGGGCATCAACTTAGGCGCGTCATAAACACGAGTTTATTTGAACAACAGCTTTGGAAGCAAATAAAGGCTAAGCCTTGGGATTAGCTGGTACATTTCCGGACAGAGAAAAAGAAAAATCTGAATCGTGCGAACAAGACTTTCGATTGCTGCTATTCTCCCAATTAGTAGGATATCCGATTTTTATTCCATTGTCAAGCATTTTTCAATTAATTTCGATCAAATTGCAATCAGTTCAATTGCAAATGCTTGCTTTTGTGATTCATTGTCATCTGGTTTGGCACAATTGTTGGGGTCGTGCAGTGTCTCCTCGGGGGCACTAGAGCAGAAAAATGCGCGCGAAAAGCTAAACAAGACCATAAGGCGATAGAAAAACAACATATTGCGTCACTCTGACATACCATTTAAACATTGAAAAGATATAGAATTGCATGTCTTTTATGTTGATGTGAATTTAAAAAGCTGAAGCCAAGGTTAGACCACTTCTCGAATAGCTGGTGCGCGCGCGCACTTCTTTCTCGCCAAACCTCCCATGGAGACACTCACGAGCACTGGCGGTGAAGGACTGTGGGTGTGGGGTGGAGTTGTATGTCGAAATTATGGAGCGAGAAAAATGCTCGCCTAAAAGGTATTTGGCAGTGTGGAGACAGAGAATAATGGCACTTACCGGGCAATCTCTTATATCTCCCATATTTCCGGCACTGCGCAGCAGTTGTCCAAAACTCATGGATTGTCGATCGAGCAGAATGCTCTGCGATGTGAGAGCTGAGGCAGACACATAATGTACCATCTGGAAGAGATTGAGGTTGGCATTAGCGAATACACATGTATTTTTTCCTGTGTAAACATTGCGCAACATTTAATCTTAGTATTTAAGTTAGCATCAATAAATTAGCCAGTGATACACACACTCCATGGGACATTAAAATATGATGATGTGGCTACACTTCCAAGCTAATAAAAAGCATCTTCATACTGATCGTGCCTCTGTGCATGTTAAATTTAAATGCCAAGCGATTTACAACCGAATCATCCGAGAAGAGACTCTCCCAAAATGAGGACGCCTCATGAGTGGCAACCTCAATCCGGGTCTCTCTCACTCTGAGGAGGTTTCTTTTTCAGCCTCACTGGTTGATCATCAACATTGATTGCCGCGCGAAGACACTCGTTTTCATTGCTCTCGCGCGCGAGCCACGAAAACAGTTCTCACTTCCAATGTACAGTTAAGTAACATAGTGCCAGAGGCGATGTTGTGCAACAGCGACAGAGGGGACAAATCTGTGATCCAGGGAGAGCGCGAAAGACTCACCTGTGTGAATGGCAATTGTTCTGAATTGGCACCGCATTCGCACACACTCTGCTCCACAACTCGCATGGCGAAGCGACGATGAGCCACGCACGCTGGAGTCTCGCAGGCATCGCTGTCCTCGTGGGACAGGTGAGAGTGAACGCGATGCAGAAGCAGCTCGAAGCACTCGGCAGCATCTCCCAGGCAACCCAGAGGAAAACGCCGCCCGGCCAGCGGTCCACTGGCCAGAGCACGTCTCAGTGGTTCGGGACATAGCGCAGGCTCCGACGAGGTCTGCAGCTGCGAGAAGAGCTCCTGCAACGAGAGAGAAAACGACCGCAATTACACAGACGATCATCTGAAGCAATTTTCACGTGCAGCATCGCAAGTGCAGAGGTTTCAGCCAAGGCGGCACAGTTTGATCGAAAACACACAGGTGTAGCAACGATGAAATTGTCTCAATCGCTGAAGGGTGAATTTTGACCCAATGAAAAAACACACACAATGCATAAATAAACCTTCCGGAGAATCTTCAATTGACCCCTCAGATAAACACAATAGGAATTGTTACAAGGGTTTCCAACTGTATTAATGTTCCTTAGCAACGATTTTTTGCATAATCGAACTATCAAAATAACTCATCAATCGTCTATGAAATGAGTTTTCAAGGAAATACCCAACACTCCTTCTTCGAATGTAACACCTGACCAATTAATCTTTCTTATGCGGTTAAGAGCTCTTAAGCAATTCACAGTCCAATTCATCTAAATTCTCAGAACGACATCGCGAGAGTTTCAATGTCTCTTAAGTAACACTTAGCCGCCAAGATGAAAGCCAGCCACAGATGCAATCCCCTTAAATTTAAGTCTACGATAGTGTTTTACATAAATTTCCCAACTATGTCCAATGAAATTGTTAGTTTTTCTCTATTTGCGAAATAAGAATCTCTCATAAACTTACAACAACTGCACGAATGCATTGTTTGTACTCTTTCCGACTGGGACGAGTGTCTTTCTTATTGTTCACTGGACCTCCTTTTGCCTGAGTATCACTGCCATCAACTGGTGGTTTTCTCTTATACCGAAATTTTATCATGATTTATGCACTCGCGGAAGAGTCTTATGTATTCACTTGATGCACACAACTTAAGCGATGGGAAAAGATCACAGGAGTTCAATATAGCTAAAGCATCTGACGATGATCGTCAAATGAAGAGTCATTTGAGGTTAGTGGGATGCAAATATGGCAAAAGAAATTGACTGTGGTTTCGCCTCATCAGACAAGAATGGCAGGAATTGCAACAAAACATACGCTTCTCTTTTTGCAACTTCTCCACCACGTGTCACTATAAATATGGCAATTATCTCTACTTGATGAAGTTAATTATATTTGGACACATGCAATCAAACTTGCACCGAACGACAGAAAGCCTCGCATATGTCGAGAGTCAATGAGAGAGGCGTGCTCTTACACCTGTCGATGGCTGGAATTGTTGCGTAACAAATAGCATATAAAATGCGGAGAATTTCCCCTACCCTCATTCAAAAATATTCCACATATTTCCTGCGCTCGAATTAGTGACTCATCACCCACGAAAGCCATTAGGATGTTTCTCTCTCGCACCTTTTGGATGCATCTTCTGTTGTTCAAGGTAGAAATCAACCGAAAATATCTTTCATTTGACGTCATCATTTTTCTGGGTAAAAGAGAGCCAATATTCCACCTTTTGTTGAGTGTCTCTGTGCAAATAATTAATCTCAAATAGAAGTTTTGGACAGCGCGCGAAGAAGCGTATGTTTGGACAGTGAGAGATGAGACATTTACATACAATAGGATCTTGTTCTTTGTACTGTGATTTTGCCAACACACAAGATAGATGGGATTTGCACGAGAGGGACTCTTTTTTACAGTTCGATAACCGTTTTCTTCGAAGAGAGAAAATAGTTTACAATTCATCTTTCTGAAAGGAAATCTTTCAGGGAAGACTTTTCACTATTTCATCTCTCCCGCTTTTGATATAATTAACCAAGAAAATCTGCATAACATAATAATACACCGCGAGAGACACTGGTAATTAGATTATTATAAAACATACTGGCTGCTATTCCGCACCCAAGCAATATGTCTCACTATTATGTCTTATTGACTTGCGCACAGACAAAGAACAGCAAGAGTGAAGCTCTCTGATCAACAAGTGATCCCCTAAAATGGTCAAGAATCTCTGTGTTGGCGTTGTGGGCGAGGAATTACTATAATTGGGCGGCTTTTATGATTTTTCCAAGCACTCTCCAGAGTGGCATGAACTCATTGTTGAATCAATGAACCGTACAATTCCAATTAATTTCACTGTTTCACTAAAAGAGGTCCACTGCACACACTTCACGTGGTCCCCACGGCACAATGTATGTATATTCCTTAGAGCCCGATCGCGAGCTACCTCTCGGTTAGCAGCCAATTCAAGACTGAGCAGACGGAAACGAGTTATGGAGCAACTTGGCGCACAAATTTGCGCCACCACTGAATGTGATGAAGTGGTTTTCTTGTATTCGGTCGACAGTCCCACAGTGGTTTCGTGTTGGTAAACCACACTCACAAATTGCGTCGTCGTCTCACGCAACCATCCATCTCGGAAAGGAGGCCCGAAACATCATCGAGCCGTGACCAAGAAGCTTCACCACTGAAGACACTGAAGCCACAAGGAGTGTATATAATCTATTTATGGTGATCGGAGCACTGAGATAGTGTCTCTCCCTATTCTTTGTGTAACTCGAGCTCTTATTATTTAATTTTTATGTGGGAGAAAAATCCTCCTGTGCTTGTAAAAACAAATGATTCTCTCTCCCCTCATCCAACCGTTCTATTCCACTAGTTCCAGATACACAGAATGGACTTGAAGAGTGTTCTTCTGTGGGAAAATGCTGAGGTGATAGTCGCGCAAAATTTCAATTTATGAGTCAAAATCCACACACGTCTAACAATTAGCTTTATAATGAGTTTCTCGCCCAATTAATGGTCTCATTTGCAGAATATAGCACTTTCATCCACACTATCTCGCCTATCCATGAAATTACCGATGAGATTCTATACGAAAATCTCTGCTTAATATTCATGAAACATCGCAAAAGACAGCCCATGCTCTTTGTTTGCTGTTAATCGCTTTTAATGCGCCTCGCGGGGCTTAAGACAACAGAGTTTATAGAGACACGACTTAAGAACAAGACAACAAACAGACAACACCTCCGTCTCAAGTACAAACAACTAATAGAGACAACACAGTGTGTGGGTGTCTCTCCACTTAACCTGGCGACATGCATACGGAAAGAAAGTTCCCCTCATGGCAGTGTTTGAACAACTGCGATAACACCTTATCATTTTATACACAGCCATTAGCTAGTCCTTTTTATGCCTTGTCCAATTAAATAACAAAACGGTGGGGGAGAAGATTCGAAAACAGGCTTTAATGCATTTCGGGTTCGTCACTTGAACGGCATTGAAGTTTAGTGTTTTGCAAATGAGTATTTATGGGTGTAATCACGCGGATTGTTGGAATTTTTGCTATGGGGGCTTATAGAATAAATGAATTTGTGTCTCTTAACCAGCGAGACACTCCTCAGTTGTAAATTTCACAAGTGTCTGGGAATAAAACGTGCTGCAAAGTTAGAATTTTGGTCAATTTTACGTGCCTACCCATAAATATTTTATCGCTTAGGTTGAAAAACACCTGAGGAGAGTTACCAGGAAGACGCTCTTACAAGATGCTCATAAGAAAAAATATTCCCATGACAGACAATTAGCACAGCGTGCGGATGGTTGGAGGGGAAAACGGAACTAATATTTACTCTGGGCGATTTTGCATAAATTTTTCCTCAAAATGTCACGTATTCACTTCACCAAAAGTCTTTTCAAGATCTAGCCAGAAAAAAGTGCTTTATCAAGTGTGTAAATAGCTGGAGAAAATGATCAGGTGACTTCGAGGGAGAGGCCTTTTATTGCCCATGTGATAAAGTATTCATAATTTTCTCGCTTCGCCACTATTTCAGATTGAAAAACCGCGGCACAGACGTGATTTGAGAGACAAAATCATAAGAGATTTCTATCAATCAAGAGCCGCATAGTCGCATTTGGCGCAGCAATCAGGGGAGGTAATTATTCTCGCTGGATATTTCTCCTTGCAAGTAGCATTACTATACAAAGTGAAAGGCGTTCGGTTGCGAAAGACATTTAAAGAGACTTAGACCGAGCCTGCATACGCAAATGTGTCAGATTTGTTGGAACAAGCCATTCATTTATGTTGGCCATATATTAAATAGTGTACGATATGATGTAAAAAAAAATCACCTCAAGCATTAAAATGCTTTTACATAGGCGAGAACACGCTGAGGAAATGAGATCAAATTGTGTGTTGCCTAAGAATCGCCTAACGCTAGACTACATTGGCGCGGATCAAATACAGTGCCGCGCAAGAGTGTCGAGTCCATAGATGGTGACTTACCTTTAGAGCGCAGAAGAGGCAATCTTGGCCCCCGCAAACGTGGTTCGTCAACTGGCGGAAAGAGCGGCGAAAAGTGTCAAGGTGCCAGAGAACCTGCAAAGAGAAGTCATTAGCGTTAATGAAAATAATGCATTCCTATTTTAGATGAGATATTTCGAGACGTAAAAATCGCTAATGTGGGAAGATATATCATTAAGTTTACTTTCAATTCAATTCCTATTCGTCTGGGTGAGATAAAGGCAAAGAGTGGGGGTTTTTGCGCGCCAAAATACAATCGAGATTCAACCATGTTTGGAAAGAGAACATCTCAGAGATCAAATTGCTGGTTCGATCCCGAAATTTACCTTGCACGTCTGAAAAAATGCACCAACGCTTGTCTTCATGTTCAACACAATAGAGAGGGTATCTTTCTCAGGGGTTCCTATGGTCGTCTCTGGAACACAATAAGTTCCCCCATTGCTCTTCCTTTTCCTCTCTTCTTCGTCTAATCTCTCTTCACTGTGCGTTTCTGGGCCTTGGCAGACCCTTCTCTTCGGCGACACCCCAAAAAAAAGCGTCCAACAATATCCACTCTCCACCTGCTGAAGACAAGAAGCAGCCGAACGGTGAAGCGTGAAGGTGCGCTCTCACGTGAGGGTTTTCAGAAGAGCGTCCCAGCAGAAGGGAGACGAATCACTTGTCGAGGCACTTGCATTTCCATAAATTCATAACTATCTTGTGTACCGCCTGGAGAGGGACGCTGTCCCCGAAATTGTTCTGCACTCCACTGTGTAATAATAGTCGGAAATGATGTCACGCACAGTGTGATTGTCCACTTGAGTCGCCTCTTCTGTTTATACTACGCGGTCAACATGAGTATTGTCGCGGCCGTAATGCACGAGTGATGCGAATAAGAGTGTGACTTGCTCAAGCGAAGGATTTTGATTTTGGACTTCTTCTCCCATGGAATCGTGCCTTCCAGAACAATCACTCTTTTTCCCAATACACCACGTCTCTCCTCACTGCCTCACTTCCAAATTGAAAAATCTCTTTTAGGTTGTACCATGAATCACCGCGGGCGCACATTTAAAGGTCTCTCACAGCCAACAAAGCCTCGTGTGGAAATACACTCTCTCTCTCTCATAAAGTCACTGATGGTCTCATTTGGAGCAAAAATCACCCGCAAAAAGTGCACTTATCCGATTTTCCTCATCACAATCTCACTAACTAGCCGTTAATCTTGTCTCCACGCTGGAAAAAGTAAGTTTTTTCCACAGAATTTGGTGGGAATTCACTAAAGAAACAGCCTCTTGCACAGAACGCGTCCAATCCGCCAAGTTGTTTGCAGCGTTACTAAGGTGGGCTATGCGAAGCACAGGTAAGAAAAGGTACAAGAGGTACAAGAAGTCACTCCAGCACGGCCATTTTGATCCACGGAGCTCCACGAAGACACACGATCGCCAGATTCAGCGTCTTCCACCTCTCTCCCTTCCCACTCTTCAACCATTAACAATCTTTTTGTTGGACTTCTTGGCTACAGAAAACCGTACCTGAGGAGGTTTTTAATCTCCACACAGCGCAAGAAGTTTGAGTGCGCGCAGAGAAAAAAACCTACTGCACAACATTATATGCTCACAATACAGCATGAGATGTTTAGCGAATGTCGCTTTTTTGCTCAGCATTTCTCAATGTACACACGGCGAGCAAGAAATTGCCGAGATGCTGCTCTAAGAAGTCATCACAACTTTTATACAATTAAATTCTCATTTGGCACACACTTCGCGAGATCTCATCAAAGGCACTGCCAAAGAGTCATTAACAGGTTGTAGTCTGTATCACTGTCGACAAACGGCCGAAAAGGGAAAATTGATGGAAAAAAAACATATTTGATAATGGGAAAATGTGAGTTGGCCATTAGATGCCCGCTAAAAAGTGCTCATAAACACCAAAGAGCATGAGATATGGCTTTTATGAAAAATAAGCATCTTCTGAGATACGAAAACCACTTAGAAAAGCTATTGGAAGATATCTTCGACGTATTTTCTGGATTTGTAGTGTTTGTAGTGCTTTTTTTGTCTTCTGCACACCTCGAAAGAGAAAGAGGCAAAACAATCCGTACCACAGTGAGGTGAAAATACATCACAACTCCAGATTTATTCTCCTGAAATCGCAGTCGAATCTTCTCACTTTTGAGCCTCACTGTACGGCTTGTTCGATCGTAAATGTTCGTGGCATGAGGAAAAACACGAGAATGAGGCGGAGAGAGTGAGGCGAGGAGATTCTACAAGCTTTATTTTCAAAATATACACCTTCTTTTGGAGTTTGGTTTGTAGTAAAAAGGTAAAATGGAAACCGGTTTCCTCTCCGTGTGCTTCAGAACACACTTGGCCAAAGAGGCATGAGCAGAGAAGCAAAAGGAACGAGAGGAAGGCAAAGACACGTTTTACAAATATAAATTGGCTGCTCCTCCACTGGTCTAACAGTGCAACCACCACAAGACTTAAAGTCCACATCCAAATCGAGGAGAAATAAATAAATTATATTTTAATCTCCCCGCATGTAAACGTGTTCTTGGGCCTCTCTTCTCTGACCATGCATCTCCGATGCTGGCGGACTCTACGTGTGACTTGGCATGAAGTGAGGCTGAAAGGTAAGAATAATGATACAGTGGAGACTTTTTCGTGTACTCCCTCGTTTTTCTTCCACACATCCCAACGTCAAGTTCAATCATGGGCGAAGAGGGGGAGAAATGGAGGAATTTGAGAAAAACTATTATGATTTTTAATCGCATTCTATTGTGTTGTACCTGCCTCTCGGGTGAAATACTATTTGGTATTTTGGAAGCCGAGACTTCCAGAGATATCTTGTTTTTTTGGTATCTCTCCTCCCGCTATTTTGCCCTATACGACGGCAATTTAAGCCTCTTTGCCTGTGTCTTATCTCACAGCGCTGTTTTTTCCTCATCGCTGAGCAGTAAAGCTGTTAATCACATGTAAATTCTATAATATGCTTAAAATGTGAGATGATAAATGTCTGAAATAGTGTGAAATTTTAATTCGTCGTCATCTACCGGGTAATCGAGTTTCTATGTAAAGTAGCTAATAGTCTTTTCAACTGTACGGCTAAGTGCAATCATAAAAATGAAATGAGATTTTACGCTGGCCCGAGAAAAGCTTATTCCATGCAGCTGGAAGATATGAGATACCGCGAGGACGGCTATTGTGCAGCCTCTCTTGGCTCTCTTCCATCCAAGCACACAATAATTGGCGGGATCTCGAGAGTGCGCGCGCTTTTGTCTTCGCATCTCCCCCTCCTCAATCCTCAAGCAGCACACCTGAGGATTCAGCAGTTCTAACATAGCACCAGAAAACTGGTTTTTCAGCCATCTCAACTCTCTCGCTTTCCACATCGCGCGGGTAAACAAACAACAGTTCACTGATAAAATTCTCTGACAGCGTTTTAAAGCATCAATTTATAAGAGTTGCTTCGACTGTGACACGTGCTGCTTTTTATTGGTCATTTGGAGGAAAATCAGCGAGAAATGCATAGAACGATTCTATCACATTTACTTTCCTACCCATAAATTTACGCCCAAATTCCTGTTTTCAATACGGCTGTTAAAACTATGACTTCTGTGGAGAATATTTTCTCAAAAAAATAATCTTCTCTCATCCGTTATCATAAGTATAGGGCAAGGCTTTGGCACAACTGACGCTGCTTCCTAGTTTTATTAATTGAATAATGATAGTCATAAATCCCACAATAAGAACACCAAATCAACAATTCGTTAGCGGTTTAAATATTAGTACCCCCAGCAAAGATGTTCACATACAAAATCGATTTATAAAGACCAACCCATTTCCAGATTACTTAAATTACCGCCTCTATTCCTCAAGCACTCTGCTTGCCAAATGTTTGACGAGCAAATTTGAAAGTATCTCCAGAGTTAAGAAGATCAATTGATCTTAATTTATTCAATAATGACACAAAACACGATCTGTTTTGACTTCAAAGCGTCAAAAAGAGATCATGGACAGCGAAGATTTCACATTTCTTACTATGTGACCGACAAACTGATGTCCAATTTCGTAAAAAAGGGTTTTCTTTTCGTTCAGATGATTGAGAGATTGATTATTTCCCATGAATGACACCAGATGAAAGTTGTGCGTGTCTTATTCTGATCCCTTCGGCCAGAGCGAATGAAGGAAATTCGTAATTAGACGGTGAGACTGGCGGGAAAAAGAAGTGACTTCCTCTACCTTCTTCCCGATCTATCGTTATGCAATCACAATGCTGACCATGGGAAGCTATAATTGCTGATTATTACACTTGTGGCAACACTGGCCCCAACACTGGATTGAGCTTCCATGTCACACATGCATAATTATCAGTGCATCTATCCTAGCTATATCGTTAAGACAAGATTGAACTAACGGTGGACTTCCAAGCGTGTACTCGCACGTCTCATTTTACAATTTCCCGCCATGACGCGCGAAAAGGTGAGAAAAAATTCGATTAAACGTGTGTAGTAATAAATTCGTTAATTAAAGTACCTATTCGTTGACTGTTTTTTCGGTGGGTTCGCACGAAAAGTTTCCTTCCTCTCAGTGCTGAACTAAATTGCTCGCGATGGTGATACAATAGATAAATAAACAATTAAGGAGAGCAACATAAAATAAACTCCACGTTTGATAATCATCCACCAACAATCGTGTGTAAATTTATAGCGTCATCTCTCGAGAGAGGGACTCTCCTGAGTGAAGCGAAGTCAATGTACTCCGTGATTAAACGCGCCTCTTCTTTGGACTTTTTCACCATCTCGCGGCCTGTCCGTAGTAAATTCTTACTCCGAGTGTGCCGATGGACAATTGGGATGGTGTGGCCGAGGCAGGGAGTGCGCGGTAAGTGGCATGTGCCCGGCATGCTACCTCCGAAGACCGCCACACCAAATTGCTCGAGAAATGTGACGAATGAATTTTACGATTTATTTATTTATAAATCACTGCCCGCGAAGAGACGACATCAATATTGATACCTCAGCCTACCAGACCATTACGCGACAAGATAGCGTACCGAGCACAAAAAATCACCTCACAAATTCCATAAGAATTTATCTCTTGTTTATACATGAACATGAAGGAAGTGTCCATTAGAAATTTCCTGTCTATTCTCAACATGCCCTCTGTCCTTCCTCAATTTTTTCCACCTTCTTCCTTCGCATCACCCTTCGGCCATGGCAGTTCTAGTGAACATTGCCTCTCTTCTCCGCACCTCAAAAACTAATAACTATGCGCGTTGGACTTGAAGAACTCAGTGATCTCATAATTCGAGTTGAAAAAGTATCGAACTTCTAAGAACTTAAGAGGCTTCTGTGAACCAATTCACAGAATTCCGGTATGAATCTTACTTGATTACATATTTCATGGGCTATTCTTATAGCTGGCAGCATAATGATTTGCGAATTCACGGCATGTGTTATAAAAGAGACCATAGAGAATCCATTGGAGAAAGCTGAGTTCTCTTTATTGGTTCCAAATCTGAAATACCACATCTCGAGATTTGTTTTTACTATTGATTTAGATGATTTTATTGGCCGCATTAGTAACAGTCTAATGCGCAACTCAATTGCTAAATATACAATTCTGCTGTGCTACACTTTTAAAACAACCTTGGTTTTATCCATATTGTAAAATTTAACGACCGGTAAAACTATAAAAGCTCCCAGTGATATATTCAAATTGCGAATCGGAAAAATATATGGCTCGTGTCGTCAATATGGGCTGCGAGGCTTACGCATTCTGGTACAAATCACCGCAAAATCAGTGTGGGGAAAATCATAATTTATGAGGCAAATTTACACACATACGACCCACCTCGACTAGCCCCGCATCAAATATATTTCAGTCTTATCTGCCACTGTTGGTCAATTAACAGTGGAATCATCTTTTAGAGGTTGGGAGAGGAACACCTCTCGAAGAGGATGGATTTATCTAAATTAGACAACAACACATCTCAAAATCGTGACTTATTATTTGCCAGAGTCTTTCTCACTTCACCAAAGCGATCCACTATATATTGTCAATGTGTAAAAACAATGATCAGACTCACGACTATGCTAAAAAACAAAGCTCAAGAGGCCATTAGAAGATGGATTCATGTCCAAAATATCTGTTGAGACTATCAATTTTCCGAGAAGAAGTGTCTCAGTTCTTCTCAGGATCCGCCGAGAGCCCCACGGGCAAATAGCCGTGTCATTTGCCTGGTAAAACCATAAAATCCAATTACACATGCAATAGAATATTTGATAATTACTCGGTATAACAAAATTATGGTGGGATTCATTCACCATCGGTTCAATATATTCCCAAAATCGTTTTTATGACCACAAATTTGTCCGATTTTCGTCACGCACGATGAATTACATGTACATTTTTAGGGGTTTTAAATCACTTGTAAACAGAAACGAGAATTTTTCCTAAATCATGCCTTTCATCCGACTGGGACTCTGATGTTCTATGGATATGATGGATGGATTGGAGTGACCATTAGCGGGAAAAGAGCGACATGGGTAATATTTTTATTAAAAAGCAACAATTCTTTTCCATTCTCCTATAGTTTCTCCCACACCAGTGGAATTGGACTTTTATCTTTCTCAAACTCCCCATCTAATCTTCTCCAATTACACATCAAATTCACATTTGACTCCATATCAACTTATTACGCCGGCCATTTGATATGCAATCCGATCCAGTCGTCTGGAGTAGCACCATGGATGAAGATGAAAATGCGCGGGAATTGTTAATCAAATCCGGCGGAGGGAGAAACTCTTGATGTGAAGAGGAGGCAAAAGAAGGCAACTTCTTCACGACCAAAGTGTGGTTGTATTTCAAATGTATGCACTGTGGGTACTTTATTGCCATGGCTCCGTGTATACATACAGTATTTTGTGGGGAATAATGAGTTCACACGATACTTTTTCTTGTGGAAAGAACTCTTGAGCCGTGAGCGAAGACGGCTTCGTCTCACAGTTCTCACAGCCACAAATTAAATGCACACACGTAGTCAATCTATGAGAATCATAACACTCTCCCAACTCTCGATGGCGCTCGGATATGAACATCTCTGAGATCTTCTTCAATTCACCTCGACTGTCGACTAACTGGCAGCACCTAATGCTAGGGTATCATTCTCTGTTAACTTTACCGTTTATGTGTGTCAATTATCGCGCAACATGCACCTGTACCATATGGCAGAGTTGTGAATGATGAAACTGCGCGATGGCGAATGCATTCACAAGTGGAAATGTTGGCTACTTCTATGAAATGTATGAATTTTTCAGCGAAAAAACCAATCCCATCTGCAGATAGCATCTTGCGAAGGTAATAAATTTCGCCGTGTTGAACAAGATATAGATCACGAAACGATGGAAATAACAATAAGCATAAATTTAATTGAATCAAATTGAATGATTTGTACAAAAATCTACGAGAGAACAATTAGTAATATCGCAAAATCTGATCAAACCTTGTTTATTGGACATTCCGACAGAAGATGGACAGAAGCGCTAATAACTCAGAGAAGCTTCTTCGGGCATGAGAATCAGTATTAGTTACATTGAAAATTTTCAACACTCTCTTTTCATACATCAGAATCCTAAGGTCATGTCTTTGAGATCTAACAATAAATCTCCATCTGTGATGACTTTGCCATTGAGGCTGTGATGCAAGGAGGAAAATTCTCAAACATCACACACTTGATCAATTCACACTGATGTGAAATTAATACTATATTAGCATTAAATTTATTTTATTCATTTATGCAAAAGAGTGCATCACGCTTCAGTTATTCGACCATGAATAAGACAACATCTCTAATAAATTTATACATGAGTCTCCTACACCAAATAACACACCATGTGTGTTGCCATCCAATGGGAACTCTTCGTTATTCTATTCTCAAACTTCACTCCAACCGTCTTATAAAGAAAATATACCAGATCAAAGTCTCATCGGTGGGCTGAGAGAGTGCAACAAAGTTGCACCAAAAGAGGAAGTAACAATCGTGATCCCGAAAAACCACTCCAATAATTCATTCAAATGAAGTCGAAAGCGCATCTTTTTGCCTTCTCCTCTATCCGGCCGAGCAAATAAACAATTCAGACACATGTTATACCTCTCTTTTGGCGAGAGAAGAGCCGATCGAGAGAGTGAAACCCTTTTTTTCGAGCGCGTCTCTGCAACAGGTGGCTCTTCCGGGCGAATTTTACTATCGAACCCATTGAGATGGAGTGGTAAAAAGCCAAAGAAGATTACACTCTGCACACCTTTTCGGATTAAGCAAACTAGAGAATAGTAATTGCACACAAAATCAAGCATATTTAAATCCCATTTGTGTACACTGACAATTCAGCACTCTTCAGAGATTTTGTGTAAATCTTGCTGATGAGCAACCGATGTTCTGCACCACACAAAGGATTGTGAGCTCGTGTCTTTTGTACGGACAGTAATTTAATGAAGATTTGCACCTGTTTAAAATTTCACGGCACGTTTTGTACCTCCAACTCTCACTGCGTAAACATACACGGGACAGCTTTATAATAAATGACGAAGCACAAGATAAAGGGTCCTGCAAGAATTACCAAGTGAAGCAGCAAATGCGCTTTTTCTTTTGCCAACAAGCAGGTGCTTCAGATGACTTTTTATCGAGTCTCATCACGTCATTACTCCACCGTCTGGACACTCGAATTATTCTAATACATTAAATAAAATTAACCCTTTATGTCTGAGCTTTAAATTCATTTTACGAGCCGATACATAAAATTGTTTCATGATTCCCCCTAATTAATTGGAATGATGTTTCATGCGGAAAAGAGCGATTAATTATGTTTGATTGGTTCTTGTATTACAAGAACAAAAAATCAGTGACTCGCTGTCGCATCATAATCTAGAGCGATTTCTTAAAAGGTCTTGAAGCACTCTCATCCATCTTAAGATATTCCACACCGAAGGAGAAAAAAATCACACACAAGACATTGCAGGGTTAATTTAATGGCCTTTTAAAATTGCCAAACTCATTAAAAATCCCATCGATAGGCGTTCCTCCCCCCTATGAGACCCCCTGTCTTCACAATCTGATTGCTAATTCAGAATCGTTTCTAATTATCGAATTTATAAAAGCAAAAAGCCCACGTTTTGCTATTCACAAATGTACACCTGAGAAAAGAACAGCCACAGAGGAAGTCTGGAAGTGGCTGATGAATCCATTATATGGCACAAGAAGACTCTAGTTCCCATGACGAATAATTAATCTTTTTTTATATTCCCTCTCTCGTCTTATTGCGTTGAGAAAATTTTTAAAATTACCACTTCATACGATCAACGTTAATATACCTGTTGTATCTTTTTTCTGCCCTGGGTGTCTTCTGAATTAAAGATTTCTCGAAAAATGCACAACTCTCCTAATGTATAACACAAACTGACAGTACGAGTGGAATATTAGATGAGGGCACAGAGTAATTAGAGGATCGATGTTTCAATTACTGTCTTCCACCGCGGCTCATCATTATACTTCTCTTCCCTCAATGTCTATTTCGCTCTCTTGCAAATATAAATTACCATTTATCGTGTAGCGAGGGAGAACAATGAGATCCCGTCACCGAGTTGTGGTTTCAAAAGTAAAATGACTGGTGATTAGACTTTGAGGATTTAAGGTTTATGTAGCGTGTTATGTAGAACACAGTGTTGAGTGAATTGAGAATAGTGCGTAACATGGTCGTAATTCTGGACTATGTTCTCAACAACAATTCACTGTCGAGCGATGATGTTAATATGTGCGTCCCGAGGGGGAAGGATTGCACTTTCATGTAATGGCTCCGCAGATGGTAATTTCCTCTTTTTCACTTGCCCATCATCACTACAGTTTCCTTCCTCCCGAGATGCGTCTATTAGTGCTCCGATAAGAGACATATATGACTAGCCGCTCACCTGAACTGCACAATTGAGGAAGCAATTATTCTGGCCGGGTCCATTGAGGAGGCCCTTGGAGGCCCCGTAGCCCATCGAGTCGCGCTGCGATGCGCTTATCTGATGATCTGTAGATAATCTCGGCCCACCCATGGCTGTTACTCCTCCTGGCCACACTCCAGTCACCACCATATTCGCTGAAGACGTCGCTGCACCCACGTGCATGTCGTCTACTCCATCATCGATCGCTGTGGAAATGATAATGAGAAGGATCACTTAGAGATCAGGCATATTGCTCAATTTATTGGAAAATTAACATGCGGGGGACATAAATATTTCACCGAGCGACAATTTTTTGCCTCATATCATCCAGCCAACGGATTAGTGTGGGATAGAGCGGAGTTTTTTCTCTCTCTCCAGAAAGCGCCTTTGAGAATTCTCAAGTGGCACACATAAACCTTTTCTTCATATACTCATAATAACTGTGTGTATTTATAACATAGCAATTTTCAACCATCTCTCTAAAGTGGTTTTACTTTTTCCCCATTCACATTTCTTACAGCTTTAGGATATGCGAGACATTCTTATGACCACCTCACGCAACATTAAATCCATCGGATGTTGAAAATTCGCCCAAAAATCTCAGCCACTTTGAGAGTCTCTCAGTGACAAATTCATGCGGAGAAATCTTTTGCATATAGCGTCTGGGAAGGTGTTTTTCAAAAGAAAAACATTATGTAAATGCCTGAAATATTCAGGCTGTTAAATTGAAAATAAAATCTGTTATGGTAAATATAGCATTTCGCAGTCTGCTGTTGGGTAAAAACACTAGGAAAAATTTTGTCATTGCGACACACTCGCCAAATGGCAATAAAAGTGTAGAGAGAGTGAATCACACCACGAGATCAATCATCCTGATATCCTGAGGGAAAATAACCAAACCGCTAATGCCAAATATAAATTCAACTTAAAGAAGCAATCAAGCATTTTTCTGGCATATTTGCGAGAAAGTACTGAAGTCAAAAAACTTCTAAAACTAGTTACTGTTGGATTAAGACAATCTAAAGGTTAATCGTGATGATCTCTGCGTGAGATGAAGCACCTTCTCACATAGACTTTTTTTCCCCATCATCACCACATCGTAGTTTTCAAATGATGAAGAGAAAAAGTGGCTTATCGCAATCATTAAGTAAACGGGAATGGGTGTATATTTTTCGAGTTATTTACACTGCGCGATAAACATAAAAATATGGTCAAGTGCCACGATTCAGTGGTGGTTATTGTGAAAACGTGATAAATGGGCAAAAATTCTCTTCAGCATGGCACCAAAAATCCCGTCTATTTGCCGTTTTAAATGTCTGACTTCAGCACAATCATTTTTTTCCATATTGTCATGCTGAGTTCCTTGTGGTTCTTCAACATTTTAGGCCTCTCTTCGGCACACCATCAACTTCTTCAAATAAAAACACACCCAAATATGGGCGATGAATATTAATATAGAGTGACAAGTGAAAAATGCTTGTTTAGTATTGTAAATCAATTCATAAATTGCCTTTTGCTATTACTGTCACATTCTCTTCAGCTCTCGCTTGTAAGTCAATACATATTGAGTACCGAACATTTCTTAACCCCATGCACAGAATCAAAATGCTAATTTACCATTTGTAGTGGTAATGTTGAGTGAATCGTGAATTTGTTATGAATTTGCATAAATGGCTCATTAGCATAACATTGGTATGAGTGCCAGAGTCCCGAGGGACTGTGATTGAATATTCCCTCATCATTGGCCCTTAAGTGTGACAGAAAATGCCAATAGCACCTCTCTTTCGAGTATTATCTCAGGACAGAATAGGTGCAATTGAGTCTTAATGTTGCGTACAAGTGAAATTAGTAGTACAACAAATGGTAATTTGTATGAATTCCTCGGCACATTGTCAAAATTCTTCTAGCGCTCTCGACTTATGGCATTTTTTTCCTTGCCGTATTACCAATTCACCACACGCATAAAGTAAGAAAGGCAATTTTAATTCGATACCCGCCTTCCCATTGAAAATCGATTAACCCGAGCGTGTTCCAAGGCAGGCGAAAAAAAGACAAATCCCGAAGAGAGTGAGCATATTTCTTTCCACATCTCGCCAGAATCTCCTATGTTGAAAAATGCCTAATGAACGAAATAAATCAAACAGAATTTTGAACCCCATGCAGTTGTCCTTGAAGTGGGTCAATGCAGATAAACCAACGAAATAATTAATGTACCTTGACTTATTTCAACTCGCTTCTCCACCAACGTTCTTGACTGTCTTTCCTCGACACAAACACACACACAAGATAAATGACACGACATGAGCTTGAGGAATGAGTATCAAATCACGCCTGATATGCTGAGAGTTGGAAAATGAGATAATCAAGGTACAATTTCTGTTGCCTCTGCAAATATCAAATGGTCACCAGTGCATAAGAGAGACAGAAATTAAAGAGACAACATTGCTAGAGGAATTTAAAGACCATGTAAGCTGATAAGTGAAGCGATATCTTCAACGGTTAGAGCTTTGTTCGCTGATGAATCCAATCTTGTGAAAAATTATAGCAATTTGGATTTTAAATTGCGGTGCAACATAGAGAAATTACTCGTCCGCAGTGATAGAAGAGGGATTTGCCTTCAGATTGACAAAGTATCTTCGTTTTAATTACATTATTAAAATAGAAATCAACATTCTGTCTACAAGGTTGGGCGGGCAATGGCAATAACTTTACTTGTACGACTTGTACGCATTTCCTGAAGTAAACAAGTGAGAAAAATGCTAAGGTTTCTTCATCAGAACGATAACTCTGCCGTCTTTCGCATTCAGAGTGCTAATATGATTCTGGCGAGATATAATTTCTGCAAATAGTCTAATTGAATTTCCGTGTTTGCCAAAAAATCTCTCTAATCATGAGTTTGTGCCACGAAAGAGGAAAAGGCGAAGAGTCCCACAAGTGTTTCGGAATTGACTCAGACTTGATGGGTAAAAAACGACAGTTTTGTCTACCTTTCTCTGTTGAAACAATAGTTGATTGTCTGCTCCTCTCCTTCCAAACTGATTCGCTGTCGTGCTGAGAGTTCAATAAAAATTAGTTATCTCCTCAGTCTCATCCAGTGTCACAGAGATTCAGTCTGGACTTGAGCAACAAGTTGTATTGGCGCCAATTGCACTTTCCCGCGCTTTTATCACCACATACATTAACAATATCCCTTCTGTACCACTTCTTTCGCGGCCCAGTGTTTTCGGCTGCTGGGAAAATGTGCCAGCGATCGCGTGAATCAACACTCCTCTGGTCACTTTCTACACTCTGGGGCAAAGCGGATTTCAGTCACAGTTCAACTCGACACAGCCGGCGCGAAAAGCCTCTTCCACCGACTCAATCTGCTAGACTGCCTCACCGCGGAGTCGCGGAAGAGATCATCAGCCCGGACAGCGCTGAGCGAGCCCCGAGTCGGAGCCGAACGCAGATTCGAGTTGCTGGTCTGTCTTCTCTGTTTCACCTCGTCGTTTGCCTTCCTTCTTTGTTGCCACGATATATCTCCATTTCGTGTGTGCCCCACTTGATGTGTTGGTGAGAGAGAAATTTTCCATCTACTTCTTGTTCAACCACCAGCATACGCGTTGCCGCCATTTCGATATGTTGAGTGCTGTATTGTGGGCACAAACACACACCTCACAATGTGTCGTCACTCAATTTGTGCCACATTTGGCGCTCGATGGTCCACCCAAAAGAAATTCTTTTAAATCACCATCCAATTTCCTCAGTCAAAATCTCCAGATGAAATCTCGCTCACTCTCCTCCTCAGCGGCTGGGAGCAATTCCTCTCCAATTCTATAAAACATCAATTAGAGTCTCTTAAGATTCTCACTACAGATTAGCTTCAGGAAAATTAATTACATTGTTGGCAGAGGCATTACAGGGAATCATTATTGGGAGCTGTATCAAATTTATCGATCTCTCCTCCGCATTTTTAATATATTGGGAAGAGTCCAGTCTGCCTCCTGGACAAATTGGGTGACTGGTGACTGTCGGATGGAGGCAGAGCACACCTCCCGAACTGTCTATCCAGTAAATCAATGAAGAAATATTGTGAGGTCAAAAATGGTCAAAATATTGTGGGACGTGAGACGTGGACACAGAAATTGGATCGATGTTATTGCCTCTTGGCGTAAAGATACAATTTTCTCTGCATAAATTAACAATCATATATTTTTTTGACTCCCTTTGCCTGCCCACATTCCCCTCTCTGCTGCCCTCACACTGCCGATGTTATTTTATTTTCGGCATTTACTGCGTTATGTGGATTAGCATGTTTAACCGGTTGACGAAGATCGCGCGGCCGCGAGCTGAAGAAGGCCAGAGATTCTTTATCCGCGATTGAAGGCGCGAAAAAAGGGGGCCGCATAGCTTGGATCAGCACCGTGAATCTTCCAGCACTTCGCCGTGCGTCTCAACTCTAATTGCCAGCCACATTCCCAACGCAATCGCGCCGCCTCCCCTCAATTATGAATTTATAGTTCAACCACTTGCCTGATTGATATGACACACGCGAATTCTAATGTAGTCCGCGAGAAATTGTGCAACTTCCGCCAAGTGCCACGCAACTGCGCTGCAACTCGTCAATCAACCTTTCGCACCTCTCAATTCCATCGCGAAAAAGTCCTCAATTAACCACCCAATCGATTCATATTCTCACCCCATGAATAATGCATGCCTCTGGCATCAATCTCAATGCAGCACAGAGGAAGCCTTTTTGCCTCCTCGCGATCAACAGGAGAGCTTTCATACAGACAACTCTGCTCAAATATATACAGCATTAATAATATTGATTGGAAAAGAGACAGAGAAGCTGTGGCAGAAAAAAGCGCGCCCGAGAAAACTGGTTTTGCGCCAACTAACGAACCTCCACCAACCAGCAAAAAGAGACGCGAAAACCAGCTTCGAGGCTATGCAAACATCGGATTGGTTGCTCGTGTCTCAAGTCTTTCGCAATGGACAGAGAGCAATTCATTTTGTACATGGATTAATTTTTTATACCTCCTTTAAGTCCGACTCCGTGTCATGACGAATGCCTCTCAGGCTTGGCTCTGGACGCCGCGAAGAAGGAGTGTTTTATTATCCCATGGGGTACACAAATGGTCAAACTCGAGGTTCTGTTTGGGATCAGTAAGCAAAATTTACCAGAAAAGATATTAGAAAAAGGATTAGAAACATGTGTTGCTCTATTCACAATCTGAGATAATCTGGCGCTGAGCCCTTCTAGGCAAGCATGAAAACCGAATGAATTAGCCATTGCAGTTGATTGGCCCCACACAACAATGATTTCTATATTCTAAGCACATCCATCAAGAACAGAAATTGAATGTGGACTCAACAATGCAGTAGCACAGACAGCATGTAGAAAATTGATGTTATTAGATATGAAGTTCAATAAATTACCTTCCATTCAATTGCTTAGCGAGAAACCCCCAATTTCTTCAGAGACGCAGTCGCGAGCTCTACTTTTTATTGTGCCCATGGATTTGGACTTAAATCATTCGCGTTTCTCTTTCACCTCTCCATTCTCCTTGCACTCCCAATCGCGGCTTCGTGCTTAAGTACGTGGACAGGACAAAGGGTGGAATCATTGACCGATTCTCGCGAGCCATCTCGAGAATCACTCTTGGGCTGCCCGTAGTCAGTGTCTTTTGTGCTCCGTCTTCAAATTAAACATGACATCAGCAATCTCAGATTGTCCATTGCTTTCAGCTCATTTTCTGCAAGGCTCCAACAATTGCCTCCAATCAATGGCTCGTGCATCTCGCGAGGCGAGCAGTTTCTTTTGTGCACATCTGCAGGGATCATTTATTAACACTGTCACGATGGATAATCAATTGCAGAAGGGTTCATGGAATAATTTGTAGAGTTTCTTCGCCTTGCGCGGCCCGAGTCCCGGACAGCTGCCCAAGCGCTCCTCAGAGCTCCTCATAATATTCTCCAGGGTGCCGTAATTGTGCAGCAGGGTCATCGAGTCGGTCTTGTTGATGCACTTTATGCTACTGAGGGCAGTCAACAGCTGAAAGGCAGCCACAGAATGATTATTATAACAATATTGCAGAGATGCCGGCAATTTCGCTTACCTTAGTGTGGGAATCCTCTGCTGGACGCTCTTTTATCCAATCTGACGAGCGATTCTCGTACATCTTATAAGATTCGATGATCTTCCCGGCCTCCTCCGGCGACCATGCTAGCATAAGGGTGAGATCTGTGAGCAGACAGACTCTAGTGATGTTCTTAAGAGCACTGTGAGGTTCCTGCAAGAATAACAGCTTGTTTCGCAAGATTCTCTCTCTAAAGCCGACCTCGGTTACCTTGAGATCAACTTGCGCCAGAAGGACTCTGAGTTGGAACATATTCCCCAGTTTCTTGATCCTCCCGTGGATATAATCCGGGTTGAGGTTGTGATATTTCAGGGACAAGAACAGGACGCATGAAGTTCGTCCCACAATGTAGTCCGGAACAATGTCATCGTACTCCCAGGGCACGTTGACCACACTCCTGAGCAGGGGATTCCCTCTCTGCTTCGGATGCACCAGGATGCAGTGGCTTTTGGTCACAGAAGCTGTCTTGACCTCAACCTTTTGCATCGGCGCCGGTGGAGCGTGCGAAGTTGACGGTCCAGCCTCTTGACTCAGCCTCATCTGCTTCGGCTCTGAAGGAGCCTCCACCTTAAGGAGTTCCTCGTCAAAGGAGTCATCAAATAGGTCTTCTTTCTCCTCAGTATTCATGGAAAACTTAACAATTCGAGAATTTCACAACCAAAACAAATCTACAGCCGGTCAAACTGAATACTCCACTGCGATGACAGCGCCTCGTCGCGGAATTAAAGGGAAATCGTTTGGAGGGAAAATCTTTGGAGACTTCAATCAATGCGCGCCTTTGGATTTGGAGAAATTGACCAATTTCGCTAATACAACAATAAAATCTTTATTTGACGATGAAATTTACACTCAAACCTTCTTCTCAGCGGTGATATCTTTCACTAAAAGCAAACAATTCCATTAGTACAGGCAAAAAAAGAGTGTGACGAATGTTACTGACCTGTGATGAGTTTGTCAGGATTCTCAGGTTTCACTTTAGACTTCTTGTGGAGATGTTTCAGAATGGCCTTCTTGTACTCCTCGCTGACTTTTCCTCCATGTCCATAGCTCACCTCGTACACAGTCAAGGGAATAACCGTGGAAGAAACTGGTACAAGATCTGCATGCGTGGGAGTTGTGAGAAAATTTCCTCTGTTATGCAACTGAAAACACTGCACCTGCTTCGTAGACTTCGCGATCTGTCTTCTTGTACACCATCGGCACAGATAGCACTTCTCCCAGCACCAAGAAGCCCAGGAAGAGCCCCAAAATTCTCCAGCTCAGCATCTCGTTGACTTTTCCGCAATGGTCCACACCAACAAACTAAAATGCCATCCAGTGTTGCTCCACGAAAATGGTCAGCGCCCACCTTTCCAACTCACAGCTACACTCAAATTCACCTGTATGGAGTGCCGATTTACATTTTTCGACGTGAAATCATCGCGCTGTGGCGAAAATCGCAGAAAGATCAGCGCTGGACTGCGAGATGGAGTGTAGACGCCAAGAGATCCAAGTACATCAGTCCCCACGCTGGCTCCACTCTCCTTATTTGATCACAAGCAAATGCTACTGTGATTTGCGCGAAGCTCTCATCGAGGAGGGGCGGAAAATTTGCAGAATTCACGCGAACACAGCGAAAATGCGTGAACTTTAAAGTGATTGTGGTGAAAAGAAGTCTACTAATATTGCCAATTGGCCGCCCCTGCTTCATTGGAGTTATGAAAGTCTTGGAGTAAATCACACAATCCGCCAAAGGCCACATCAACACAATGGAAAAAGCAAGAATTGAGGTGAAAATCGTGAGAAATTTATGATATTTTTGAAACTGTATTGTAATTACTCTCTTTACTCAACAATACTCAATTCATATTCAATTTCAATTCAGACTAATTTATTCATAAAGACAAGAGATTCTGTTTTCTTTCACTAGAATTGCACTCACTAAATGTCTCATTCTTACTAAACGCCTTCGCCCTCGCTGGAAAATTGCCGGAAATTCCATTTCCAAATGTTGTATTGTACCTAACTATGGACTGCTTCTGAAAGCTAGAGCAATAGTTACTGAATGTCCAAATTTTCTACAAACTTGAATATTTAGTTTGATTTTGGCACAGTTGGACCCCATTTATTCAATGCTATTGCCATTCATTTAAGTTTTGCTAGATTTCGCACAATCTTTCTGCTTGGTTTTGATCTTGAACTAATTTTTCAAGAGTATTTCACTCAATTTGAGGCAATATTATATGAGTTGTGGTATAAATATCTCTAGAATGTTAATTTTAGTAATTAACTAAAGACATTTTTCTATGCAAGGTCTTGCAACATTCTTCAAAAATACATATTGCATAGTCAGGGCCAAACAATATAAAATGTATTGGAGTATTGTTGTATTCAAGTTTAAGCCACGCCCATATGGACGCTCCGCCCTTTTTATTAGCCTAAAGCTAAACCATGGATTGACTGATTTAAGATACAGTTTGGGGAAAACAGAAAATCAACAGTTGCAAGTCCTCGTGAGTGCTCATAAAAATTGTATACACATTTGGGAGCTCTATTACTCTGTCTGTCTCCCCACTTTGTAAACCTATTAACTTGTACTCTGTATAAATATCAAAAGTTCCCGTCACCCATCTTAAACATTACTCTCACCCTTGTGGGGTGAGCTGGACATAGGGTAGACGCATGTTTTCCGCTTCACGAAATTCGTGGGACTGGACTTCTCTACCAGATTCGCGAGCAATGGCAAGGACTCATTCTTTGCGAAAATCTTATCTGCCGGAGTGTTGCGTCTCTTCCCTATGATGCGACTGGGGGACTTTCGACGTGGAGAGTCCATGAGCAAGTGAGTCTGATCAGAGGTTTCTGAACACTCGGTGAAGACGGGAAAGTGTGACTCCAGGACGCCAGAGCGAAGTTTCAGGCTGGAATTTGAATTTAGCGGCTCCAGGGCGGAGAGGGAGGACATTGCACTGTGATAGGTATCACTCGAGCTCGCCGTCGTCACTTTGGGATGCTGAGCGATTGACTGGTTAACGGACAGAGTTCCTGGAACATCTCCCAGAATAGCACTGTCACTCATCGTGAGCTTAGCTGTGGCTATCATTTCGCCTGTGCTCTCATCGATATTATCAGCAGACTTTGAGGCCTCATTCAGATGTCCTATGCCGTTAGAGGAGTCCACAGATCCGAATGTGTCATCACTGGAACTGCTGGTGTTCGTGCAAGGCACTCGGGGATTCGTTATGAACACCTGACCCATTCTCTTGTACTTCTCCACAGATCTCCAGTCATCCCCACACTTGGAGAGATTCCCAGTGATCTTGGGTGCTCTCCGCATGATCCGCGGTGTGTGTAACTCCTCAATCAGAGGCTCATCCTTCTGAGCTTGAATTATCCCGCCAAGACACTTCTCAATACTCGTGGCTAAACTCGCAGCCAGACTCGCCCGAGAACTTATGCTGGATACTTCGGACAGACTCTCGGGACTGGCCAGAGGCGCAAGTCCAAACCAATCGTCATGGATCAGGTCAATTTTCTTCACCACATCCGACGGCGTACGACGTCCCTCCGTGAAGGACAAGCTAATGGGTTTCCGAGGAACTCCTGGCTTCTGGAGAATTCCACGTGGGAAGGCAAGAACTGTTGGTGCGGGCGATGGAGCACTTCCGGCCTTATTGATGTCAAAGGCCACATTCTTCCTGGGTTCCGCGAGGAGAACAGTGGTGGCTTCACTGGCTGGGCCAGACATACTCCTCACCAGGCCACTGTCATCCACGAGACTCGAGGCGTCGATGCTCCGGCCGAGCATGCTGCCCGCCAGAGAGGAACCTTTGCTGGACGGAGGCGCATCTATAGGACTCTGGAGGCTCGTGAAGGATGTCTCGAGGCACACCTTGTGCGACACTGGACTCTGAGGCCGATGATTGTAGTGGTTGCCATCCGGAAGGTCAATGGCCACCGAGGAGGGATTGCAATTTGTGTGCTGACGCTGAGGTTTCCGAGGTCCGTGTGATGTTACAACCTGAAAAAAATAAAAATCTATTCTAAAACATTCCGCATGTCAATCGAATTGGTTGGGAAATAATCATATCCAATGCATGTGCTCATAGTACAAAAAGTCCCCTCGAAAAGAGGAAAATTTGATAAACAAGTTCAATGGCAATAAACTTGAAATGCAATCCACTTACCTTCAACCCTATCTTGTCGTTCTAAACCATATACTGAGAGTGCTTTTCAGTAACAACGAGCAAAGCGTCAAATATAGCTTCAATGTTGAGGGAGAAAAGAAATAAAAATTAAAAGAAAAATCAATTTCACATATGTGCAAACAATAAACAAACACAAAAGTTATGAATAAATAAACATGAATTGAAAGAAAGCAATTGAGTAACACCACACAGAGACTTGAGTTAGAGAGAACAGACAAAATATGGTTATTTCTTTGAAAGTTTTCTTCATCTTTATAGCAAGGAATATGCTTGAAAATACGAGGATTGTTTTCGCTTACTGCATCAATACCTGGTGTCATTGAGATATCTGGGAAGCGAATCTGGAGTGATTGTGATGGTTGAGGTTGTGGCTGGTGGTGTATTATCGTGATTTGCAGGACGTCGTTCTTTAAAATGCATGACCTGAAGGAGTTCAGATATTGCATAAAACGAAAACACATATTTCCTTTAAGGAAAGCTAACGAGAAGTTATAAATTGTTAGACAAAGAGAGAGAAAGAATCTCTAGAGGATTGTTAAATGAAGAGAGAAATTGCTCTAAATGTCCGTTGTAAAAATCTACCAACGAAATGACTCTGAAAGCTTTTAAGACTTATTGATTCACTAAGCCTCAAAATGGGATTATTTATTCAACATTTTGTTGTACATACTGTTGGTGTTTCTAAAGAGAGGCAAAATGAGAATTTTTCCAAGGAAATTAAATTCTCTCCTCTTCTCTGTTCACCACTAAAGAAGAAAGTACAGCGGAAAACTGAAATATTTAATGCTGCTGATAAATACAAGTGGAAATTATAATTGTATGTACAAATGAAAGAGAAACAAATAATAATGATGAGAGGAACTCTGTAAAAATATGTACATTTCCACAGTGTGGAAAGAGGAATTACAGATTCTAAAAGCTCTGGCATTTTCTATCAGTTAATGTAACATCATCACTATGATCTATTTGTGTTCAGATACTCAAAGTGACAGAAAATCACTCAACTAGATATTATGGATAACAACTTCACATCATCATCTAAAAGGAATTTGCTACTGGTGAGAGAGGCAAAAAGTCTACAATAAGGGAACACGAGTGAGAGTTGCAGAATAACTGGGTGGAAAGATTGAGGTGGAATCACTTACCTTGTTAAGAGCGGCGAGCACCTTGTCTGGCATGTGATCCTTGAACATAACAGGTGAAATGAGGACTTCATCGAAGTCGGTGTTCTTCGCCCAAATTGCCTGATAGACGGGCTCCCTTTTCTTCAGCAATTGCCTGGAATGTCGTCAGAACATTGTGTTATTTCGCTGCTTTTCCGCCTTTCACATTTCAATTAGAGGAGAGAAAACATTCTGTTCTTCCCAGTATTACACCCATTGAGAATTTAATTCCATTTTAAATTGAAATTTGAATACGCCACGACCGCGAAAGTACTCATTTTGTCATGGTGTTATTTATCTTAATGGTTCAATGAATATACCAAATCGACATTGGCTTTTGATACCACTCTCTGGAGTGATTCAAATCCAATATCAGCTTTGCAAAATCGAATTTACACGAGAAATCTTCCGTAGACATCAATTTGAAACCTTCAATATTAACGTCACTGAAAGTGCTTCAGGCATAAATCGCAAACATCCTCCTCTTTTCTGTTGCTGAGCTATTCCCAAACCTAACGATATGCTATGTAGCTCAAGGCTTCTAACATTTCGATGGAGGAGATTATGCTCAGCAACAAAAAATCCTAGTTCCGTCTGTTCAAATCAACATAACAAACACTGAAAGAAAAAAGATTATATTTTTTTTTCTTAGGTGTATGCAAATATTTAGCAAAATTCTTCAAATAATTCCAAATCTAGAGGTAAAATGAATGGGGGATCCAAATGAAAATACCATGCTCTACATGCCAATTGAATTCCGGAGTTGGAAAACTCATCCTGTGCGGAATGTACAAAATGCAATACAGTGAGAAACACGCAACTTTACCTCCAACCCTTCTCGTACTTGTGCCTGAAATAGAAATCACAGTTTTATGGCATTTTGTTAGTCATTGAAAGCGATGATTGGTAAGTAATTGAGATTGATGCTTAATTGTGAGGTATTGAGCAGTGGGTGAAAGCCGTAATTATCCAACCAAGACTAGAAGCTCGAGGCGAAATTCAATATTTATTCAAAATATGACGCGCAAAGCATCGAATTTCCCAAGGCCAGAAATGGAAGCATTCCAGAGTAGAAGGCAAAAGAAGGGGGATACACATGCTCATGGGACACTTACTCGTCTGGTGTGGGATGATGTCTCACGATGTGAATTATTTTTCCTGGCGGATACATTGGCCGGTGGAGGGTGAGGGCGATGGAGCTATCATTTGGATGAGCACTGGTATTCCGGGCACTCGTCCTTTGCTGTCCGATGGGATATCAATCAATACAGAATTCCCAGTGTGATACAATGGAAAACATCTTTGGAAAGTGTGTGTGTGTACAAACCTCTTCATATGCATTAATATTGTCATCTCGACTGGACATTTGCGAGACGGAAGTGGGTTCTGGGCCACAGCCACAGCAGAATACTGAGCAGGCGATGGTCTTCCACTACAAGTAAATAAATCACAACCCAGTGAATAAATCTCGTTTCGATCACTGAAGCAATCTGCTTTTCATTCAATCAAAATCAACTTCGTTCAATCAATATAAGGCGGAATGATTCTGAATGAATCAATGCATAATATGAAAGCTCTGAATGGATATATATGAGACTGAAATGCATAGGAGTCGCTTAAATACTTGTTGCCTTCAGAGGAAACATGTCATACTCTGGAAATCCCCAAATCTTCAAGCTTAATCCCAAAAATCCCTTACCAAGAGACACTATGGGATTTTCCCGTTCGGATTTCTCTAATTTCATCTTACTCAAATGCAAAATAAAAGAGAAATCGAAAGAGAAATCACTCAACTTTTTTCACGTTTTTCTCTGTTCGTTCCTAATTACTTTTCTTAATTACTATTTATGAACCTAATAAACTTATTTGCAATTTCCAATAACATTTCCAATTTGTGAAGTATTCGCTATGCAACATAACATGATAACATAATTAAAATGTGTGTCGCAAATTAAGTTTAGCAAGACTTAAAGCGCTCTATCGGTTTTAAAGCTTTTCTGCAGTATATTGCACTCTACGAAAGCTATCTCACACGTTGCGATGGCATATAAACCATTCAAGAGCACTTGAAAAGGCGCATAAAGCTCTGATATTAAACGGTGATTAGGTGAAAACTTGTAAGGTTCGACAAACCAATCAAATTTGCCAAGAGATAAACTCCCTTAATTGAATTCATCCTCAATTCTCTCGTGGTAAATGAGTCATGAGAGTTACGCTGCATACCTTTGGATCGATGCTCCGCTTTATGGCATTAATTAAATCCGCCCTGAGCGCTTCCATTTGATGCAATCCAATTCGCGGTATGACATCCTTGCCCACCACCACGGACGTTATGAAGGACTTTGAGTACTCCACAGCGGGCATGCTGAAAAGAGGCAAAAAGCAGTCTTGAGGCCGGAAGCATGGGAAGTATGATGAATAGCCAACCTCAGTAATCCACCGGGAGGAGAGTAGCTGAAGCACTGAAGAGAGGGGTGGTCATTTTTCAGCAGTATGGCCAGAATTGCTGCCGTTCCGCCGCCCAGTGAGTGGCCCACAATCACCAAACCGAAGGACTGAAAAATATCCACATAAATAAGGCAATCTGTCTTTGCGCTGTTTCCTTATGCAACACTCCCTGAATTGCCAAGTGAATTGCCCATATTTTACGGGCAATTAAATTTGATTTGCGTAATACTGATTGATAGTGCCAATAAGGGCTTACCGGGGTATTTCGCTCGGGGTTGTGATGCAGCGCTCTGTGAATGAGGTTTTCCTCGTCCAGTTTCTGCTTGATGTAAACAGCCGCTTGCACCATGCCTTTGTGTCCCACCCAATCCTCTCGAGGCGGATTGAGAGGCAGACACTCGGATTCTGCGTTCAGGTCCGTCAGGACGTCCTGCATGCTCAGTGTACCGCGAATGCTGATGACGACTTTTTGCTTAGTATAGTCTACGGCCACGAAGAAAGGTGTCTCGCCAATGTCCACGTGGTAAGTCACATAGACCACATCAATGTCTGAATCTGGAGCCATCTTCCGCAGGGTGGCGTAGTTGCAGCGACAGCAGTTGTCCTTCACCACCTCAACCCTGTCTCGGCGTCTGCAGCATGTCATGCAACAGATGAGGCGAGAGCAGAGCTGACAGAGACCCGTGACTGAGTGGGTCATCACGTAGATGGGCCAGCCGTAGGCACTCTGGGCGTAGTACATGTAGTGGATGACCGTTTGGAAAAAATTGAAATCACGACTGTCGTTTAAAGCTAGGAATTGCGTCTCTTCCGTGATCGGTGCACCACTCAGAAATTCATAGATGCCATTCTTGCGTTGTCTCACGATAGCTTCCCTCTCCAGTCTCTGGAACTTCCTGAGCAGCACCAATCCCGCTACCACATCCGACGGCACCACGTCCAAGTCCCGGAAGAAGTCGCTGAGAAGCCTGGCGATGTCTGTGAAAGAGTTCCTGTTGCGCTCTGAAGAGCCCATGCAGCAGAACAGGAGTCGGCATCGATGGTCCCAACTATCCTGGTACGCCCTGATGACTTTCCGCTGGCGCCAATTCCTGTTGCGACTCCCACTCCTGCGATAGTTGAAGCGCGACTCCGACTCCTTCATTGACCTCTGGTACTTCTTCATCTTCACCCAGGATCTGCCGGCCGTGTCGAAGGTACACCAAATGGTGCCAATTATAACAAATACCACTATGAAATTGCAGACTATTAGACCTGCCGATTAGAGCAAACATTAGTTGTTTGCCAGTCAATGAGACCGCAAATGTTTACCGAACATCACTTCTTTGGCCTCCGCTATTGGACAATCCATATAGAACTCCTTCAGCCACACAATACCCATCGCCAGCCATGCAATTTCTATTAATATCACAACTGGAACAGCAAGAATGCATTTTAGAAAATCACCTCTCATCTCTCATCGCATCTCTTCCGTGTACTCACATAGCTTCAAATACACCCAGTAATTCATCGATGTCCGCAGACTTGTCTCCAGAATACTTCCTCTCATTGAGATTACACATATTGTTACTTCCACTAGCAAAGAAACTGCCAATGAGCGTGATGGGAAAATCCACAAGAAAAATACATTAGTGTCATGGGCGTGGGATGAGCCAGAGGACTTAGTTATATTACCAATTAATACAACAGCATATCCTATTTTATACAGCCACATCAATTCTATGCATCGCACGGAATTATCGTACTGTACGAGGCCTAGAACTAGAGCGAGTATGAAAAGCCTGCAAAGAGAAGTGGAGAAAATGTCAGGGCGTATGATGGATTTGCGCCAACAAATGATGTTAGGCAGGAGAAAGACGTGGAGGACAAATATTGGCAAGATACACAGAAAAGTTTGGTCTATTCTGTACAGCAGGCGCGCACCTCGCAACATTAGTCGTGTATTGTGTATTCAAAACATTTTCCATTCAAAGCAATAGCATTATATTAACTATTGAGAATTTTCTATAACAATTAGAAGAGCTTTCAACCATTCGAGTTGAATGTGAGAGTATGTAATAAGGATTCTTTCAAGGCAAACACTCAAATTGACATTAGTCAATCAACTGTGGAATCAATTGTATCCATTTGTTCATATAACAAATGGGAGTTCCCATGAGAACTCAAGGCTTTTCGTTAGATGAGAAAAGGCGCTTAATGGATTGCGATAAGCACACTTCAAACAATGTAGAAATCCTTTTTTCATTCACGCTCAATTTTATCCCACCAGAAGACTCTTTTCGGCGTATCTTTTACAGTCTCGAGATCCCTTCAGAGCTCCTTGACAGAATATCTCGCTGGGGGTGTATTTCATCGAATGGGAGATGGTAATAAAAGCACATCCGCTGTCATTGGTGGGAAATTGAGAACAATACCCTCAGGAGAAGAGAACCAAATAACCCTTCAGCCAGGCACGTGTTCCATTCAGTGGTGGAGGATAAATTTCTTCCTGTTAATGTCGCTTAGCACATCCCCAAGGATGGAGGCGCACTCGTTGAAGCTTTTCTTCTTCCTTTGGCCAACTCACCGAGCCAGAGAAAGCCCTTTTCATGAATTGACAATATCAACAACGGAGATGAAATTTAAATGCGCTGCAAGTCGCATTATTTTCAAAGTGAAATGCAACTCACTTTTCCTACAGCTATTTTGCAAAATTCTCATCTTCTCTCAGAGAAGTGAAGGATTTTCATGTTGATTTAGTAAAGTTCTCCGGAAAACTCATGCGACATGCAGAAAGCTCAAAGAACTGAGGTATGAGAAATCCCATTAAATGCAAATGTGCAAAATTTATACAACACAGCAAAGTTCTGAAATTTCCTTGCTCATAAAACAAAGGGCGGGAATGAAACCAGAACTTTTTTTCTTGATATTGTGGCTGAGAAAATGACACAGGAAAATTATTCACACCATTAAAATCCTCTAAGCACCCACAAATATCCATTTATCTCGCGGACGAAGACATATTAACTTTCCTCTCATTCTATCATTCAAAAGCATTGGAGAAAAATGACGAGGCGCGCGAGGATAATATGGCGATGAGAGGAAAATTGGATTTTTGATTACATTTTTCCGGCATTCTCTCAACATCCTGGCGAATTATATTTGTTAGTTCTTTTTCGCCAACACTCTGGCATTTTGTACCCAAATAGCAGAAAGCAATTTTTCCAGGAAATTACATTTTTCCCGCCTCACCCAATTTGGGCGATTTCCTCTCCATCTCCACTATGAAATTTATTAGTGTCACTCGACACACTTTTCCTGTCCATGTTCCATCTCCATCATTAGTCATGTTAACACACGATGTCGTGATTGCAGCTCAATTGAATTTATTTGCACTGCACATTTTGCAAATTTCTATTGAAATGCAAACTGAGTGAGAGGTCAATTGTGCAGAATTTAGATAACTCACCAAATGGCGTGAATTGTTACTAGAAAGACACCTGGCACCACGAGGTCATCCGATCCCACGGACCATCTTCGTTTGAACACAACGATTCCAGGCATTTTCAATCCTGCAAAGAAATGACATTTCAGTAGTTAAAAATCATAAAAGACTCTAAATGGGTTCGAAAGTCTTCTAAAAGTCCCTTGGGAGAGCGATAATTCATCCATAGGAACATTAATCTTGCTCTACACCCGAGATTACTCGAGGGATTAATGACTTTAATGTTCTCAGAGAACTTAGAAGACCTCATATCTCGAAAGACACAGCCGTCGAAACTTCTTTAAGGATATGCGGTGTGAGGTAAACTTGGTCTGCACACCAACATTGTCGTATTTTCACCTCATACCATCGGATATTAAATTGCCAGGGGGAAATGTGTGAAAACTTTTGTACTGTTGCCATCAGGTAGATTTTCCACTCTTTCACCCACTTTCAAATATGTGACGAGTGCAGCATGTGAAAAGGCAGGTGTTAAATACCATGTAGAAGACACTTTTACACAATTACCGCCTCATCCAGGCATATTTTCGAGAGCCATAAAGCGCGATGTGTTCATAAATTGTAGCGCAAAACACCACACGCTGTGTATCTCTCGCATAATGCGAACTTTATGGGTGTTACGAAGAAGAATGCTTTCTTGTGACAAACACTGCAGGGCGATGGCGAGGCGTCAAATTGATTGCACACCCTCAACTTCCCGACAAGTGCCCTCGCCTCGATTGCACAACTCCACCACATGACGACCCTCCCCTGACTTTCTCGCCGACGCAGGGGATCTTCAAGGTAATTTATGGCCTTTATGGCTGTACGAACAGTCGCCGATGAGACTACATAAATAGCGTTTATTCGCAAGTGCACTCACAGATACGAAATGAATCTATTCTGGGGCCATTAAAGCTACACACAACCGACATCATCCCTCCGAGGAGAGTTTCATGGCTTAATACCGCCACGTTGCCCTTTAGTAAATACAACAAGGAGATGAATAAACCATACAGTTTAGGAAGAGCGATTCAAGAGAGGATTAGCTTACAGCATCAAGGGGTGAAAAATGCGATAGGCAAAGTGTCCATCCGAAATTTCACTCTCATTAGGCTTTCACCTGCCCTCATTCATTAATATTTTGCTTAATATGTATATGCACGACCCGGAATTTTCAATTAGTCCCGAACAACATGAGAGCATTAACAAAACGCAAAATGAAAACTGTGGTTACATTCAGGATGAGTTGGATTTTAAACTTGAGCAACCGAGTCCATGAAAAATGCAGAATGACTGAGAATTATTCATTCATATCCTCTATGATTAATTACCCCAGGATATCCTGTGTTTGCTTGGTGGCATCAATTTAGGGATCGGATATCTGATGCACGCACTATACGATACTATTTGTTAATTATGCAAAATGGGTAAAATCGATATATTCGACTCATGGGATAACACTTTCGGCACATTATTTAAAGAGGAGCAGCAGCTAATATCCCGCAGGGCTCGTTAATGCTTGACGGCTGCTGTGGGGGCACGTGTTCCACTCACAGATGAGACCCTTTAATGCCACCACAAAGTGTTTGGCATTGTCGAAGCGATTAATGGGCGAGTGAATTTTTTATGACAACATGAAAAACAATAAACCCATCACATCATTATGCCTTGTGATATAGTTTAATGTCCAAATCGACCCAACTGAATTATTAAGTGGACCCCGATGGCATGTTGTGCAGACGGAAGTCGTGGAAATCACCACTGTGTGGTGTTTGGGGAAAAATTTTGCATTTAAGAGGAAATTTAATAACGGCACGATTGGGAATTCGTACCATTCCCCAGAGTGTGTCTTTCCACATCCACTCTGCGACACTTTGCCAAAGATATGTGGAAGGTCACAGTGCAAACATGTGTATAGATAAATTGTCAGCATGAATATTGCCCACACTCGTGAGCGCAATCCTTGTATTTTGTGCGAAGATTCACAGGTTTTTGCCCCTGATAGGGATTCTACAAAGTGTATAAAGTGAGAAGATCGAGATGAGTGAAGCACACTCGCCCAGATGCGGGAGATAAGGGTGCTACATGTTTATTCTGATGCGAAGGCAAAGCTCTCTCTCGGAAGGAATTTAATAAACGCAATAGGGCCAAAAAAAATCCTAAACTTCCTCCTCACGTCGAGAACTTTTCAACTTTGTCGTACCCAAAGAGATTAGGTGGCAAATTCAAGGATTTCTTGTTATGCCTTTTTTTCCTTTCTCTCTCGCTCCAGCCATTAAATTAATGCCAGTTTGAATCACCCAGTGTGTGGATTATGGTGAAAATAATTCATACAATAAGTATATACGGGAGAAATTCTATATCTGGCAAACCAATCGGCCGAAGAACATTTGCGGTTCTGTCAATCCCTTAAGTCCCCTATCATATCTTCTTACCTCCATGTGCAAGTCTTATCGTCTTATTTGAAACACCCACTGTTTCAAATATGTATGACGAGGAGGTGCTATAAATTTTTCCGAGAAAAGCAATGTCAAATGTAATTCATTTTCCCCTCAAATTCTATCTCTTCTTCAATTTGCTCTGACCTCCTCGGGAATCATATTTCTCTCCTATGGCAACGCACGGATGTGACGTCAAATGCAGAAAACCCAACTCAAGGAAGTATTGGTTCTTTCCCTTGCGGCATAAATTGCCTTATTAGGGGAGGACATGCCGGAATTATGGGATCAATTCTCAGAAATTGCATGATTTAGTCATTGTGAAAATATACACAGAAGACAAATCTATCATTAAAGCAGTTGAATTAATTAATGGGATCATTGGCACCTGCTGAAAAGTCTTTAACACGAAAGGGAAATTAAGAGTTCGCCACGCTACAAACGCACACACACTGTAATAGGATATTTTAATGAATTAACCCTGATCCTGTGTTCTGCCTTCAAGCGAACACACTGAATTAGCTTTATTTTATTCAGCAGCAGATCGAGGGTTAATTCCAGGTTGAATGGCGTGATAGCCACAAAGACTCGTGTGAATCATACTGGTCAGTTGAAAGGTTATTTTTGGTTTGGTGAGTATTTACTGATAGCACATAAATCCGCGTTTATAGCACACAACCACCGGATTTTAATCATGTGTAATGTAATTCTTTGATTGATAACATTTATCAGCTCTCCCATGTATCATCTCCGCATTGAGAAATTGTGACGAGAGAAACTCGCTCAAGGTTCACATTCAGTCTCAACAAAGCGACTCACAAGCTTGATAATTAATTGATAATTGCTTGATCATCCGTCGTGTCTTTGCATCTGCACGATAAAACAAACACACGACTTTCAGTTGCTCACACACGCAATATTGCTGTTATTTGATGTCTAATGACAGAGCAATAATCTGACTAAATATGCCATTTTCAGCAATGCTTCTGTGCTCTTTTCTCTAATTGCAAGAATTCCTCTTAAATTCCATCATGCGGAAATATTTTCCACGCATCATTTTCCAATTCCGGAGGAATTCAACATGCGCTTGAAGATGTGTTTTTTGCGACCGACCCATGGAAATTACGGAATGTGCTTTTTTCGCCGCAATTCCAAAAATATCACACTCCTATAAATTATTCAATTCATTCTCTTTCACGTCACAGATATGCAAATTCCAGCTATTAAAATAATACGGTAAATACTGGAGGAGGTATAACAAATTATGAAATTTCAATTTCCACTCAAAACCCGTTGTTTATAAAATGCTGCAAAAAAATGGTTTGTGTTTACATAGCATCAACAATGCAACATTTATTTACAGAAAGGTTTTGTCATGAAAATCGTGCAAATAAAAATATTTTTTAATAGTGCGAAGGGTGAGAAGATAAATTCAAACTCAAACTTGTCAATTTGATAAATTGATTAACATGTGCCTAATCGTATTATCATATTTAATTAACTTCCTTCCCCAACAATCGGAAGAAATAATGCAAATGAGCGAAGTCTGCCTGTTTTCGAAAGGGAGGGAAACTTTCAACTTTTCCAGGTCACGATTGAAAATTCACTATGTTTTTCCCTTCTCCATGAATTGAAACTTCTCCCGAACTTCATGTACAGTGATTCAGATAGATCCTTCGTCAGTGTTTACCACGATGTTAGTTAAACTTTTGGGTGGCAATCAATTGTGAGAACATTCAGAAACACACTCCCCAAGAGGCTCAACCTGTGTTAGCATGGAGAAAAAATATAACTTATGCAATATGCTGAGGCCCAACAAAGTAATTAAATGAAACGATAAACTTCCATTCGTTCTCCTGACACTCATTCAGTCAATCCATGAGTTCATACTTGGCTAAGAGATTGAACTGAAGTTCAAGGGTGAAGAACACAGGACGGAGAGTGAGAAAATCTCATTTAGACGCCAACCCCATTCCCAGCTTCATCATTTTCAATTACGATCAGACAGCATGGCCACAGAGACATTTCTGTAAAACCTGTCATGTCTTCCCATCATGACGGTGAAATTAGACTTCAGCAATGTCTGCAGGTAGATATTTAGCATTTAATATATGTCACCAGATTTATTCCATCACGTCTGATTTCACGAGCCTCGGCCAGGGTGTGAGTAATAAAAATTGATTGCGTCCGATGCTAATGGAAATTTAGTCCCGATTAAATATTTAAAGGGATCAGAATCCAGCTGAGAAGTGATTTGAAGAATCCAATTGGCCTTTTCGCCACCGTCCGATGTGTTTGCCCACCCCCGAGAGCAAGGAGGGTGGCGCATAGAGTCAAGTGATTATTGATTTTTGTCTAGGAAGTGCTTATTAAACAGTTCACGATTCAAATATTCTCGTGCGGAGTTGTTTTCTCCATTGTTTTCCGCTTCTCGTTCGGTTTGCCACAGCCACGAAGAACGCGGAAGATTCGCTATATTTCCGACCATTGGGGGTGGCATTTTGACCCCATCGCGAGGGGGTTTGGGTGAGTAAACACGATTGACACGCGTTGTGAGCTCATTACCATAAAAATAATTCCATATGTTTCGAGATTTTCTTCACGACATTACCTTTTCCGCAAGAGATTCAAATCAATACTGGGAGAATCTCAGTGATGTGATTTCGCCACTTTCTGCCAACTTTTCTGATGCAACTACTCCATGCGAGGGTGCAGATTCAATGCGATGGCGGTGCGCGCGGGTCAGAAGATGTTGTACATAGAATTCCTCAAGTCTTCTTGAGCAATCCACTCACGATTTTTCGCACAATGGAAGAAATACACATTTACAAGGGGGCCAGAAGCGGTTGAAAATTTTTCCACCCTCAGCAAGTCAATGGGAAGCTACCACGGAGGGTCGATTTTGCACCCCAATTGTATTCACAGCACATAACTCTCCTGTGTGCGGCTCCGGCAAAAAGGGGCACCTCTTGCAAATCGATACACTCCCGCGCTCATTACTCTTTCATGCGGCGTCCATTCACTGCTCCATCACCCACTTTCGCGGCCACCCAGGCGCCCGGCACGCACTCGAGATGGGCTCCCCGGAGGAGCTGAAGCACAGAAGAGGCGACAGGGCTTATTTTTGGGAACACAGAGTCCTCACCACTGGCAACGAGAGTGCGTCCACCACTCACGGATGTCTCCACGCAACTGTCGCCAGCGAGCCCCGCGCTATCGCCACGCTCGTCGCCGGCGCACACTCCCTTCCCGGCCGTGAGCGCATGCCTCCGGAACGAGGGAAAGCCACTGCATCGGCACGGCAGCCGACCACGTCGGAGGCATGCATTTTTTACGTCGGCCCGTCAGATAAGCCGCTTCTCGGGCCATACAGAGTGGCTGATTTGTGTTAAATCACGGGCAACATGAAAAATGGGCTCAGCGTACCTCACGCAAAATGCCACTCGCAATCGCAGGCAGGACTTGCCAATCAGGGGATGAAGGGCAATCGATATTTCGCTAATTCTGCGAAAAATCCCACAGATATGTGTACGAAATGTTGGCTCAGTCGCGGGGTATGGAAATACGATTAATTTGGCTCAAATAAATTTGTATAGGTACACTACTTACTGGCCAAAGATAACAGTTTATCAAGAAACAACAGCTCCAGCGACAGTAATTATTAATTCCGTGCAGTGAAGCCTGTAAAAACAACCAATAAAACACGATGTAAATCAGTATTGTCACGAATTTCCAAATAGTTTGAATTAATACAGTTTTTTTTTATATGTTATTTAATTTAATTAAGGGGTCACGGATTCACGAAACAACCCACCATAAATAAAGTCAAATCCTTTACCAAAATTTATCAGATACCACCAGTATTTATGACCCTTTGTGGAAAAAAAAATCATCTTGTTTTTTCGCTTTTTGCAAATCAATTCAACTTGAAATCATCGAGATTATAATCCGCGATAGCCACTATTTCCTCAACAAACCGCCATTTCGGGGAGCTTTATATCACCACAACATTAAAGATATACCATAAGGAAGGCATGGAAATGGGAAACTAAACCAGTTGAATGGTTAAAAAAGCTCCCCGGCTATAAACATTTTATGTATACTCACGATTTATCGCTCCCTTCACAGTCACATTCACGGCATGGGGGACAATGGATTTGTGTTGAGCATCAGCGGGAGGAAATTGGGGTAAATGCAAATTTCAGCCTCAGGTGAAATATGAAGAGAAGTGAGGAGTCTTGTGGCTTTTCAGGACAAGTGCCAAGAGCCAATCGTGCTGAGAAAGTCTGATCATTTGTCTGAACAAAAACGAACAGTGAGATTTTGAGGATTGATTAGGGGTGAATTTATCAGTCACATCGAAGGGGTTTCTAAGCGCCCAGAATAGAAGAACTCTCGGACAGGCTATTTTAATGAATTCACACGATGGTGAACCAGATGGAAAGGGGTTTGGCCATGGCACCCCGAAAATAAATGCTGCGAGTACAATGTTCCTCGATTTCCATATTAAATTATCCACTTTGCTCACGCAGCGCAGTCGCTTAAATAAATTAGCGATATATTAGAAGCATTAGCTCACATTCTGCTGACACGGGTCGTTGCCGATGTCCCGCCGTGAGCCCAACGCCAATTAACTAATTCAAATGATGCTCTGAAGGTACGGCATTTGCCCTGAGTTATCAACGGAAATCATGTTGAATTTTAATTCTGCAATAATGACTGCAAATGCGAATGTTTCCGTGCTGAATTGCCTCGTTACACGATAAATTCTTGTCCTAAAGCGACATTCTTGCCAAACAGCAAAGAGCCTGAAATTACACTCAATGGCCTATAAATACACTCGAATCACTCAAACACCCATTCTATAAATACAAGGAAATTTTCAGAGCAAAAGACTTCCGTCAAACCTCAAGAAAATGAGACAAACACTCTTCTTCGCGGAGAGAACATCAATAATCTCATCAAATATGCCCAGGGAGACATTTAGCACTCATCATCTGGAAAATTGAATGAACTCTCGCAAATAAATGTCGAGTGATTGAACTTTTTATGCCTCTCAATTCCTTTCGAGATGAATAACATCAAAAGAGCTCTTCAATCACCATTAAAATGACGTTTTATCGAGAAAGAGAAAATAATAAAATTATTATCACATTTCTCTGATGCTTTAAATTCAATTGTAAAACGCGCGATAAGGCAGTTGAATACCAAAATTATTTTGCCCTATATTTTGTGGTTAATGAAAAACGGTGGCGAGTTAAGTGAGAAGTGCCATAAATTTTCAAATTTGCTCTCGGAGATTAAAATTAAATTTGGAAAATCATAATAATTCACAATGAATTACGACGACCAACCCTCATATAACGTAATATGATATGATCTCCATCAAAGTGATGCTAACTTTGGTGCTTTGGGGCAGTTTCCAGCTCACTCGCTTAATGAAATATAATGTATGGACCTACATTCATGTGCTGTTATTATCCATCACTTGCGTTTCCTTGTCTCCCAGGACTTTATTCAGCTCTAATTCAGATCATTCTCGTGAACATTTAATTAATAAGGAGGAGACCGTTAACGCGTTGTTTTCTATCGCTTCGCATCCCTCGCATATTTGTTGAGAACATTGCAGATGATTTACAGCGGAACACTTAAACTTTTCGCAGGGCGCAGGAAAAGTCCTCAAAAGCACTTCAATCATAATTAATCGAAATTGAAGAGTCAGAGTTGGCCGTAAGTGGACAAATCCATGGTTGGAGAAAGTTAAAAGTTATGTTATTTCTGCACAAATATATTTTTGCAATATAATTCTCATATTTGGCTGCTGCTTGCACACAAGAATAACTGTTGGTTATTTCACAAATAAATATATCTTTTTTTTCCTTTTCTTTTGCTATATGCTCCATGTATACGATAACTACATGTCCGAAGTAGAGGTACTCATATTCTCTGGTAAACACATTGTTATTTATTCACTACGTAAATGGCAAAACGTGATTAAATGAAAGATACAGCAGAGCAGAATTTATGAGAGAAGCGGAAGAGAGGTGTGAAATAATGTGGGGGAGGCAAAGAAGCTGAACACGATATTGAAATAAGAGTTTCGCTCTCTCTCTCCGGACGATAGTGAAAAGGTTGGTAAGAGAGTAGAGAATAAAGCGTTAGTTGGGGAATAAGTTGGAGAGAGGTGTTGGAGAAATGGTTGAAGATAGTGTAACTTATAACATACACACTCTCGCCACACATTCATTGAGCAATTACACCTGTTCCACCTTCACCTCCCGGCCTTGTGCCTTCACCAGCCGAAATGCCTCTCGAATGGTGGGCGTGAGAAGCACCTTAAGCTTCTCCGAGGACTCCTCTGGCAGAGACTTCAGTAGCTCCATTGATGCTATCACGAGTTGCGTTATAGCGGCGCGCTTGTAGACAGAATCCCTCAGAATGCTAGTCGCGCGCTGTTGTTCAATCTCTGGTGACACCGCTTGATTGATGGACTCACTGGAGAAGCTCATCGAGCTCCCGTCCGCCGATGGGGACCGATTTATGTCGAAGGGATTCATCCTCTTCGGCGGCGGCTGATGGCGACTACTCGTGGAGCCAGGAGAACTCCCGCCGACACTCTCTTCCGGACGAATCTTCTCCGATCGCGACTCTTCCGCCTCGGAATCTTCCCTGTAGTTGTCGTGAAAGGGATTGTTGCTGTGGCCAGTGATCTCCTTTTCCGCCTCCTCGTCGATCTTCTCAGCGCCACAGAAATCCACTTGATCTTCCTCACCCCTGTCAAAGTCCTTAATCTCCTCCTTCGTGCTCTTTGTCGCGTGCAGATTTGACTGGTTGAGATACTGTTCGCAAATTAAATTCCAAGCATCCTGCAGACAGAACAAGTACCTCACGAAGTTCTCTTTCTTCTTCACCGTCGTCGTGTTAACTCGAGAGCATGACTCCAGAATATACAGAAGATCCTCTGTGGTGAGATTGTACACCTCGATGTCCGCCAGATACGAATCCACCAGTGAAATGAAGTACACCATCCACGAGGAGATCATTTGCTTATAAAGATTTGCAGCAAAGTCAATATTGCTGACTTTCTGCATGAGAAACTTCAGTCCAGGACGGGAATCGAATTCAAAAGCGCTCGTTATGTACTGCTTGATGCACCGTAGCAACATTTCCCGCGATCTAAAGCCCAAATCATACTCTGCCTTCACGTTGGCTGGATATCCCTCAAATATGCACCCGTGCACTTCTGGAGGAACGCACTTCAGCTTGCTCAGCAGCAAGTTCGCCACGAGTTGCAGAAGCATTTGGTTGGCCAGGAGGCCAATTACTAGATTCCTGTACGGGATGCGAATGACAAAATTGTCTATGTTGTGCCCATAACCATTTGGCAGGGGATAGAGCAGGAAGGAATAACTGCGCTCGTCCATAATGTGCTTCCCTTCGTAACTTGGCTTCGACGCTAGCAATTCCCGCTGATTGTCCATGAGAAACACTTGCTGGGCCAGAGCATAAATCCTCTGCAGTTCATCAATTGTGCTGTCCTTGCGAGCGGCCACCTAGAAAAGCAGAAAGAATTAGCAGATCTGCTAGAGAGCACCACTAAAACTTACCTTAACCGTGGCGCAGTCTCCGTAGAAACTGTTGGATTTCTCATTGAAGGCAAAGCCGAGCTGCCGCAGCGGAGCTATGGTGACCGTACAAGCTCTGTGAATAGCCGAACAGGCAATCATCCACTGATCCTCATTGAAGATGTGTCCCGTAGACAGAATCACATGCTTCAGACAGGAGACTCCCACTCTCGCAATAGATTCCTGCACCTGAGCTGTGCACTCAATCAGCACTAGCAGAAGCTGTTTCAGCGCCAGCGTTGCCGGGGCTGGAATCTTCGTTGGAGATTCCGAAGATGTGGTCTCATCGCTACTCGATGAACATTCGCCCTTCGTTCTCAACTGGCCATACCTGAGATTGTCCACAGGCCGTTGGATATTTGTCATTTTAGCGTGTATTGTCGTGGCAGGCGCTTTTCTCTGTGATTTCTCAATGAACTCCACAATGAGATCAGTAGCCATTCCGCAGCAGTGCTTGAAGTTCTTCTCAATCGGCTGCCAACTGCGTTGCGTTTTGTTGACATACCTCAACCAGTCTTGGATCATGGGGATCAGAAGATGATTGATACAGTAGAAGCCAAAATCGATGCCCGGACTGACGAGAAGGAGTTTAAACAGTTTGAAGATGCACTGCAGAATGGGCGATTGATGCGAAGTGGGACAGACAATGAGAGAATTTGTGAGGCCATCGAGCAGGAGGAACCACACTTTGAGCACACCGCTCGCCTTGTCCAACTCATCAATCTTCACAACAGACTCCTTGTCAATATGCAGCGATCTGTACGAGATCATGTGCTTCTCATTGTTGTTCTGCAAGTAATCGTTTCCAAAGTACGTGAAGTTCTCCATGGAATTGGGGATATTAGCGTCAATCACATGTGTGTAGCTAATTCCCTTGATCTTGTATGTTGAATGCAGGTTCGGACACTTGGGCATTGTATACATGAAGGCCAAGATTGATGAACATCTCTCGAGAAATTTTAGTGTCTCATGGAGGAAGTCCGTAGGGCGAATGGTGTCATCCTCAGAACCTGCAGCCGTTCCGGAGATCTCCAAGTAAGACAGCAAACAGAGGATGCAGTCGAGTCCAGCATTCGCAAACACCAGCATATTGTCACTATCCAGAAAGACACGAAAGATATCCGTCACATTGGACAGATGAAGTGGACGATTGCGAGCATTTCTCAGTGTGCCAAAGAGCGGTCGCCACCCCGAACGGATCTCTGTCCGATGCGCCTCCACAATCTCATACAAACACGCCACTATTTGATCCTGCACATCGATGTCGCACGTCTCCATACTCAGCAGGTTCTCGAAGGGCTTCAGCAACGCCTCATTGAAGTGGAAATGCGGCAATTCCGTCTGCTCAACCAGGAGAGCTGTTATAACATCATGGATGTACTCAATAGCCCTCTTGGAGATTGTCCGATCCTTGTGGCACGCTGCATCCATGAGGTGTGGTCCTGTTATAGCCCACACCTTCAAGATATGCAGAAGAGGTCGTGGCCCTCTGAACACTCTCAGCGTGACATCACCCACGCGATGAAGCAGCAACGACAGAGGATAGGAGTCCGGAAGTTGCTTCCAGTTGCTTCTCGATGGCCACCAAGACTTCCTTCCACTCTTCCCACTCGAATTCCTGTATAGCTGCTCCCGAGATGCCTTGCAGAGACTCCGCAGGAATTGGCAAAGTGCCGGGAGACTAAGCCTCTCAGCAGCATCGCTGAATAGATTGTCAGCTTGATGAGAGAGAGCGCAGAGAACCTTCGCCGTGTCGGTCTGTGTTAGCAGAGCAGGTTCATTGCCTGAATAGTTCTTCAGGATACTCGAAACACTCGTATTAGAGTTCTGAAGGGGCGCCTGGAGGAAACTATACACATCCACGCAAGTCTCATCATCGTCAATAGGACAAGCACTGAGATTCAGCTTATCCGCTCCCGTTCCAGCATTCATTCCACTCCGATTGTCCGAATTCTCACCATCCTTCGAGGCCATGGCACTGGGACCATTGATATTTGTGCCTGAGTTCTGCAAGCTAAACAACTCATGCTCCATCTGAGCCACATGACGGCACACAGAGAAAACTGGGAGCCAGCAATCGGCGCTAAAGGAGCCTAACTCCAGTCCCCCTGATAGAATCACATCCATCGAGAGAGCCTGATTAGCGGGAACTCGCGGTCCATGAGATTGACAAACATTCGCCGCGATCAGGTTGAGGATCTTCCCTGAGAGATGTTGCAGATTCAGTGAATTGCTTAGCGTGGCAGCTGCATGAAGCCCATCAAGACTTGTAGCGTAAAGTGTCTCCCCGTCGTTTCGCTGCTTCCTTCTCGTTCTCAGAGTTTTCTTGGACAATACAACGAGTCTGTTCTTCTTAAACTCCTCAATATCTCCCAGGCCAGCTGTGAGAACAGTCACCATGGAATCCCAGCAGCACGTGAGAAGGCGTCTGGCCAACTTCTTCGACGCAATTTGCCTCTCACTCAGCTCCGGCTGAAGCTTAGCCACAGTCTGCAAACGCTGCCAGTCAGAGAGCATTTGCGTAGGTCCCCATCCTCCGGCATCGCACAACATGTCGACGAGAGCGCAGTAGAACTGATCCGTATCAGTTGTCTTCAGACTCACCAAGGGATTCGTCACGAGGATGCATTGATAGAGTTCGCAGAGCCATGCTGAGGATAAGTAGACCAGAACTCCGGCATTCTGCACTGAAGTCACAAACTGTTGTTCAGAAAGTGGAATCATAATATTCCCATCTGTATTGTCATAGTGACCAGCACGAGTGAGTTGCAAACTTAACAGCAATGCCGAGTACGTGGCCAAGTAAATTCCATCAGCATTGATCACTGTGAGATTGTAATCGAAATCAGAGAAATTGTAGCTATTCTGTTGACAAATGGAACTCGCAAACTCCTGCATTGCCTCGTCAACCTCCACAGAACTTCTCAGCAAGAGTAGTTTGGGGACCAGCTCATTTGTCAACTGCTTGGCAAATTCCCTAGCGTGTCGTCTGTCAATGTCTCCATCGCTCCTTACAGGCGTCGGTGCTTCCAAATATGAATATGGCCAATTGGAGTCGCCAGAAATCTCATCTCCAGACGTCTGTGGCTCCTCTTCAGGCCCTTCTGTGTCCCCAGAGTTATTTGACGCCACATCAGCCTCAACATTCTCTACATCACTGTCAGAAGCTGACGATGTCTCGAAGCCATTCTGCCGCAGAACAGCCACAGCATCCCGATACGGTGCTGGCAGGCGTGCCATGGACTGGTACGTCAATGGGCCAGTATAGTCAACTTCCGTGAGATGACTGTAGCGGGAATTGATAGTCTCCATAGCCTGATTGGACAGAATTGTCTCATTCACATCACTAGAGCTCAGAACTTGCAGACTCCCTAACAGCGCCACAACGCATTCAACACTGGACTGAAGAGCGGCTTCTGAACATCCGCCTGATTGAGTTGCATTGGCGCATTCTTCCATAGCATCAATTATTCTGAAAAAAGGAAATCACGGATTTGTCAGTAAAGAGCTGAGCAAGCCCTAAAAAGTCCCAACTGTCTCTAATTTGTTCCAATCTTTTGAACAAGTTTCCACTTCCTGAACAAGAACCGAAATGGATAAAGTTTTATTGCCGGAAACTTTCTCAAGAATTATCGTTGAACTTTAACACTTTTCAAACTCTTGAAGAGAGTTGTTTCAACTGTGAAATCTCATATTTCATCACTCCTTACATTTGAATTGCCGCAAAATTTCATTTAATACTCACAATCTGAAAAGAGCCATGTCATCACTGCAGCTCTGCCCCTGAGTCTTATCCGGAAATAGTATAACTGCAAGATCCACCAGTCGCTCAGGTGATTTGAAGATCTCCCTTACACACCTCAGAGGTTCAGTGCGGTTCTGCGATGCTGGCAGGAGGAGCATCCGGTGAAAGAGTGCCTCCAGCATCGGCCGAAGTGATCCCTGAGTCCCTGCAATCCTCAGCAGTTGGATGGCTGTGAGATAAACGCATCTTGCTTGGGGTCCATCGAGTCCGGGTCCGGTGAAGAATCCTCTGGTTTCACTCTCGATTATGTGCAGGGCGTCTCGATAGGTGAACTTCTTGTCCAGATTCACCCTGCCAGGAGATCCCAGAGAGGCGGCCAGGGTTGGGCAGAATTTCTGCCACAGAAAGGCCGTAAAGTGCGGATTTGACTGAACATCGCGCGGCAGGGATATTGTGAGGGTGAGAATGCACTCTGTGAGGAAGAGCGTTCCATTGGACTCAGTTCTCTTGGGACTTCCGCTGACGCGAGGCTCCACCAGACGACTGCAGAGCCATTGCATCACAGGGATGACCTCATTGTACACTGCCGCAGCCTGACTGGCAGTCACGAGAGCTCCTGGGGCTGTCCTCATGATCTCCTCAGTTTCGTCCTTGAGGAACGCTGAAAAAGTCCTCAAGCACTGACTGGCTGCCGCGAGAGAAGCCGCTCGAACAGCCCTCGTTCCGTTCTCCCAATTCTCTCCGCAGCGGCACAGAATCTCAATGAGGAGACGTCCGTTCAGTGTGCACGTTGGCGAGCACGCCATGGCGAGGAAGAGGCGCAGGACGTGCACCAGAGTATCCTCATTGGACTGCGCTGTCGTCACATTTGCAGTGGCTCGCAGGAGCTGTGCGGGCAACCATAGCGAATCATCTTCTGGCTCCAGTCCAATGTAGAAGCGTTCATCTCGAATCACTCTCTAGGGAGGGAGAAACAATGAGAGAGAACAATTAGGACTAAAGCAGGCAGGAAATGTAGAACAAGTTACATGGCCAAAGTCTAAACAATTATCCCAGTTTCCTGTGGTAATTGAATGCTCGTGGCAAACTATTTAATTCAACCACCAGAGATTGCAAAACTTTTCAAATCTCAACTTATGGAAATTATACGCAAAATGCGATTAGTGATTTTATTTTCAAGCTACAAGCTGTTTAATTAACGTCGAGTCTCTGCGCGTTTATCAATTCAATCAAAGGATAAACAGACACAGACAAAACAACTTCACAACACGGAGTGAAACCTTTCAGAAGAGACTAAATTGGAGGGAAATGGTAATGCCTTTCGTTCTTTTTGTGGCACTAAAGCCAAACAACAAATGGACAGACCAACTTCACGCAATAATTAGTGCAAATAGACAGAAAATTGACCTTCAGACGATCTTGACTTTTTGCCTTTCCTCTTTGACCATAATGAAAAATCAATAGATTAGGCTCGAAAAATACAGCGTGTCACTTAACAGATATCTTACCACATTCAATCTGGGTTAATATACAAAATATACATCGAAGAGGTGAATGAGAAGAGCCACCCACTTGATTATCCTGACGCTATATACTCACATGCATTCCATTCAGGGCGAGAGTCACAAATTTGGGCCGTCGAGTTTCCAATGCCATTTGAAGCGGTGCCAAGCACACGGACCGCAAATCATAAGACGGATCTCGATGGATGCCATGCTGGCGATAGAGTTTATCTGCAAAGAAGACAAGATATCGATTTTTTCATGCCATATGGTGGGGCTCCGCCTGTCAATTCACTCACCATGAGCACACTGGGCGGCTTGCTTGAGGTACGCCAACTTCGTGCCCGTTGCCTCCTTCACGAGGTTCAGGAAGAGCTCTTCCATGGCTTTGTTGACTCACTCGACACACTGATGACTAATTCAGAACCCCTCCTTCATACTCAACCATATTGTTGCAGGCAGGGTGAATTTTCCGTCACGCTGTGGTCTTTTGCGCCCTCTCAGCTACTTCTAAATCTCCTCAAAGTGCCCTCTAAACTCCGCTTGAGGTGGAAAATTTTGCCTTTATGACCTCTTTTATGAGAAAAACTACGCCTCCAGGCCCGTGAGTGAATCAGACGTGCCAAATGTTTTCTACTTTCGTACAATTCTCGCGGTCTCTTCCATAGAATTCACAATCCTCGAGTGCACAGATACACTTTGGAGTTTCACTGTTACGTTTATCCTATATCAAACGCCCTTTCCCAGCAAACTCACAAGGAATCGCGAAATTTTCTACCATTCCACTATTAGACGACATCTTGGAAAATGGACACTTTTACCAGACACCTCAGGCGCACACTCTGGCCAGGAGAAGTGCCCCGGAAAAATCGATACGCCCCACTCTTGCAAATGGTCGGAGAATTATCAATGAATGGCACGTGCACGAGGGCGGCAACAAGTGTTTGGCTCTGGGGAGGGATGGCAACAGGTGGTTGGGGCTCGACGCCGCGAAGGGGAGACTCTATGGGGAGTGTATTGATTATTTCAGGAGCGGCGGTGCGAGTCAAAAGCCTCAACAGCTCGTTGATCCGACTCTGTCACATGTAATTCCCTCAATTTCAATACAAATAGAGTTACACATCGATGATTGGGGTGCAGGGTGGTCAGTTTAACAGCCAGAAGGAGGTTTACTTGATGGGTTTCATCTGCCACAGGCCGTCATTGAGGTAGTGGCAGTTCTCCACGCCGATTCCCTTGTTGATCTTTGAGCTGCAAGACAAGGACTCTATGCAGGACTATTCCAACAACCACACAACGGTATATTTACATGTCCTCAGTGGAGAGTGTTGTTATTCCGATGGCTAAGGCGTTCTGCTTCCCTTCCGCCATGATCGCCACCACTGTGCCCTTGTCCACGGGCATCATCTTCGCTCCCGGCGACGTGAGTCCGGGACACATGATATTCGCACCACTGAGAACAAACCTAATGGCCCCCTTGTCCACCTGCTCCTTGGGCAGGAACACTGGGTATCTGTGAAACAGCCTGAGCGTCGGCATCCACGCACCCTCGCGCTGCCGGAAGAACAATTGCTCTCCCGTCGTGTTCACAATTATCTCTATGTGATCATGGCTACAAAAACAAATCCCTGAGACCGGGAAACTCATCACGAACACCCATAAACACTCACCATTTGACTATTTTGAAGCCATCCTTCTTCGGCAGGATGCTCTCCATAAAGGGCTCCAGATTCGGGAACTGCTCGAGAAGCTTCACGCGAATGCCCTTCTGCACCGATGATTTGAGCTGGAGAGTTCCGGACACGCTCTCCTTCTCGTCGAATCTGGCAGGAACAGCCGGAACACATAAACAAAAGTTAGTGTTTGAGGTTAGATTCAGAGAAATCCATCTCCTCATCAAAGTATACACCAGAGATTCCCATCCTTGATACCACTTACTTCTTGAACATCTTAACTAATCAGTTACACACTAATATTTCCTAGAAAATGCTACTGTGCTGAGATATTACAAAGTTTTCACAAGTCCTAACATGCACTGCCACTGCCAGGCAATTGCTTGCAGCGCCTCTGCCAGATTTCCCACAAACGACCAATCCGTGGAGGTTTAACTGACAGCCGGAGCCCGCAGAAAAATAACAAACCCCTGAGTAAAGTGCTGTTCAAGGTGGATTTTTCATGTGATAAGGAGTATTAGAAGTGAAGAAGCAGTGATAAGAACGTACAATGGATTTGATGCACCCTAATTTACTCAAAGACGAACAAATTGTGGCAATACTCAAGGAGGTAGGAGAGGTAAAAGTGGATGAAGATCTTCCGTTGCTTACATTTCTTGATTGGGCTTCCAGAGGCAGCTGAATATCCCCAAAATCACAGAGATTGGCCGGGAGGAGCTGATCAGGCTCTACGAGAGATTCATCATGCCACAACCGTGTCGAAGGGCGAGGGAACGAGACAGTAGGAGTGCCAATACGACCAGCACTGTGGGAAAGGATCGTGCGGAGAGAGCAAATGCCAATGGGGAACTGAAGCGAAAGCACAAGGAGATCACCTTCACAGATGACGACTGCAGGGCCCGCGAGGTTCACTACAAAGTTATGAAGATGACCAATTCAGCTGCAGAATCAAACACCCGCCCAGTTGCTCCACAGAGGACCTCAGAGAGCTGTCCTCAGCAGCCTCAGCACAATCCTCCCTCGAAGAGGATGAAGATCACCTGGCCATAGTCAACGTGCTTAGATGGTATTTTATGTGCTGACTTACATTATCTTGAAATGCTGTGTGTTAAGATAAGGAAAAAACAGTCTTGAAGTATATTTTCGATTTATCTCTCTCTTTATTATTACAAAAGGCGATTTTTAATTTTCAGTACAATTATACATAAGTTATCATTGTTGAATTTTTCATCTTGTCTTCAAAGTAAAAAGGGACTATTATACAATTCGCACGATATTTCACAAATCCTTGAAGGATATTAATAATAATTCCTTTGAAAAGATCTCGACTGAATACAAGTTTCATTTCACTTCCTTTTTTTTTGGTAATTCTCTTGTGGCACCAACTAATTGATATTCGCGTCAATTGATTAGAAATTACACACTCTACATATTCAGTCCAATTATTTATATACAATTCATTTTATTGTTAGTAATAAAAATCTAGTTAATATGAGAAAGCATCAAATTCAACATTTTTCATCAAATTTAGCACATTTAGTTCTCTGCTATACAATTTTCCTCTCTTTCCTTCCGTTCATTTAATGACTGACTATCATTTCTCGCCAATTGTTTTCGCACAAATCCAATTTTTTTTTTGTATCAAAAAATCACTCTTGCGCGCGCGATGCTCTTATTAAGAGAATAAAAAAAATATTGTCCCAAACTCTCTGATCAACGAAAAACTGTCAATAAATCCACATTCTTCTTTGGTTTGTCCATGCCATTAAACAGCCGTCTCGTGGTCAGCCTCCTCTATTCTTCCCAAGCGCCAAGCATTCGGATCGCCAGCTGCAAGAGAGACAAATAATAATCACATCTCGTTCAATGTCACGTACAATTTCACAGATTAGTCTTTCCAATTCATTTACTTTGTCTAACTGCTTTATTTACAATCTCGTGCTAATTTATGTACACAAACTCGTCTGGCATGCACTATTGAACTGATCTGTCTCGGGAGGGAGACAAAAACTCTAGCTTTTGGCTATTTCCTGATGCTTTTTTGGGTTAATTTAAAATTATTAAAATAAATCTACGAGCAGCTCGATTAGGATCACTCACTGAAATTATGATATTTCTTCTACGGATTAAATTACATTGTCATAATGAGGAAACTCCCTTTAGTTATTCAGCAGCTGTGTTTTGTGAATGGCTACAATTAATTGCCATGTTCGCCGACATCAATTCACAAAAGGTTAACCGAAATGTGCATTATCATCGCTGTTAATAATCTGCAAAATGCCTCTGAGCCACGTTGAGAGATCATCGACTCACGTAGAAAGGCAATTTTAAACACAATCAGCAAATTGACTGATTCAACATCTTCTACAAGTTAAAATAACCTCCCCTTCAATTAATGCCAGGCGACCTTTGTGTCTGGAAGGCAAAGAACACGATCGGTTTAAAGGTATTGATTGATTGATGTATTTAAGAGGGATTGTGCTATCAACAAGAAGAGATTAGAGGTCGAGAGAGAGACAATATCGCTTTACTTAGTGACCCTAATTGAGCGTCTCCAAATTGTACGTCGCAAGATTTGTTAGAGTTACGTGTTAGTTGGGGAGGAAATAAAGAGGTGTGTTGGAACTTACCGCAATAATAATATTTAGATATCCTAGGCAGAGCTAGGCAAAAGAAAATGTTTCTTTTACAAATTTAAAGAAGCAAGAACAGTGGCAAAGTCACTAAATCTTCATGTCATCCAAATATCAACTGAAGAGCTTCCGAGGAGAATCATAGAATTTCTAACTTAGTGCGAATTCAGCATGAGGTGAATTTTATTGTATTTGTTCTTTGGATTCATTTACTTCACGAAGTAGTCAGAAGGAGAAGCGTTAAATTGTTGAGAGATAGAGAAAGAGAGCGAAATAAAGATAGGATGGCAAAAGTATTTATCGAGAGCTCATGCTGTCCAAATGATAGAGATTTCACACTTGGATTCCGGACAAAATAGTCTATTAATGTTTACACCAGAGAGAAATGTGATAATAAATCAAGTCATTGTCCACACGTTTAACGCAAAAACAAACGGAATCACACACGAAATACAAGAAATATTGCAACAAAACATCTACGATTAGATGTGGGAGAAAGTGAGTGTGAGGGTCATGATGTTCAGCAAGTAGACGTTTTGAGATCAGTAGATGCAACCATTGACGGCAGGAACGCTCGATAGGAACTTCCGAGCAATGGGACATGCTCCTCTAAAATAAAAAAGAGAGAAAAAGAAAAGGAAGAGAATATAAACATTAAATAACAACTGGAGGGCAAATTAAAAACGATAAGGAGTGGAATGACGGTGGGAAAACGAAAAATCATTGGAAAGGGTTTTCACGGTGAAGCATTTCCACAGGCTAGACGTGCAGTGAATGCATTATGGTGGAGATTGAAGAAAAGAAGCCACTATACAGCCCGCCCTTGAGAGTGGCGGACGGAAGAGTGTGCAAAGTGAATGATATTCTGCAGAATTGTGGTGGAATGCGAGAAAAAGCTTTTTCAATTTGCGTGACTAAACAGCCAATTTTTGCCAGAAGTTTGGAAATGGAATGTCTCAGGACACAGCGGAAGTTGAAGCGAGAACGAAGATTCAAGCAGTCACAGTACATTCAAAGCCATTTCTTCTTGCATGCTCTATATATGATTCCTTTCGAGGCACCCAAGCAGCACAGCAAAGACGAACTGCATTCCAAAGTGAACTGCGCTGCCTGGGCAATCTATTCACGCTGTCGTGTCTGTTCTATATGGAACCAGGAGAATGATGGTTGAACAATCGCGTCATGGCATCATCTTACTCACCTTGAAGTTGACGATTGATTAGCGCTGTTATGCCATGACCATCGCCACTCTTCTTCATGAGCAGCATGGGTTTGTCCTCGGCATCGTCATATCCTGATGATATGAAACCATTGCTGGCGGCCATCGTTTCGCTCACCTGCAAGAAATGATCCTTTCAGTGCATTGCACTCAGTGCGCATTATGCAAATTCCTCCCTATACCAACCTGAGTCACCTGCATGAGCTTCTTCACCACATCCCGGCCGAGGATGTGATCAAAAACAGCCTGGAGAAATGGTTCTGCCATTATGGACAATTTCAACTTGTCCCGATGCCAGATGAGAACTCTTGACTCCTCCATGGCCATTATTGACACCTTGGGGAGACACAAACTATCATGAATACACAATCCAATAACCCAAAAAGCTCCTCGACATACTTGAAAATAGTCATCCGTGGACACTCCAAACCACTCAGGAGAATCCAGAAACTGATGAGGAAACACTATGTGAAGTGCTCTTTGATTTTGCGATACGACTAGCCTGGAAAGGGATGCAAAAAAACTGAATTTAGTGACATTTTCCGACAAAAAGGACATTTAAAGGGCATTAGCAGAATAATTTCGTGCTCCATCGAGCACGATAAGTTGGACAAAAGTGATAGAATGAAATTGGAAACTCACTTTCCCGACAACACCAAGGACAAACTGTCCACTTTGGTGACTTTTTCTTGTGCATAGACTTCTTGGTACTTCAGTGAGCGCACCAGTTTCATACAGTTGAGGACTTTCTTGAACTGATGACGCGAAACACGGAGAGGCTGAAAAAGTGCTGCGTACACCTGTCGAAAAACGGGAAATCGTTTTGTTAATTGAATCACCAATTTTGTGCGGTTTTGCAAATGCATTTCTGTTTTTTTGTCTATTGATTGCTATCAGAGCATCAAAGTTGAACAAAATTGCGTTTACAGATAAAATTTTAGATGAGATAAACAATGTTCAAAACCTTGCACTAAAATATTCTGTCTTATCTTTGAATGCGTTTTTCAAATATTTTTGATTCAATGGCAATAATCCTAAATCTATTTGGCAAGTGTTCATTTCAACTCTGCGGTGACCTCGAGACTTCAGGAAGTGGATGGAAACATAAAATCCTGATAATATAAAATGCAGTGCTATAAATTTGTCCTCTGAGATCATAAAATACACCGCATTCATGGCACGAGAAGCTTCATCTTTTGCAAGAGCCTAGGTTAGTACGGCAAGAAAACCTCCCAGAACAACAATTACACCATCCCCAGAATTCTCACGGGCAGTATAAGCTGGCCCGTGTCCTGAGTCAGAAAATGAATTGTGAAGGAGTCCCACTCAAGGCTTAATTGTATTTTCCCAGAAGTGTACTAATTCTAATTAAGTGTATTCGAAGAGAGCTGAATTTTGGGAACTTTTGCCGTAAAATTCAAATAATGGTTTGTATTTATAAACGCTACGAACTCTTGTGTATTTAGGGAGAACGCAATTTGAAATTCCACGATAAGAATTAACACGCAAGAGAAATATCGTTCCACTGGTCATGGTTTAATTTAAATCAACATCGCGCCGGCATCATCCTCATGAATTATAATTGTGTGAATCACACATTCACATCGGAGTGATGATAAGTCAGGCAAATCAAACAAATCAAATTGGCATTTAATTAAGCGCGCTCCAGCGAATATGACATATAAAACATGAAGTTATGTTGAAGAATTTTTCAATTGATTGCAGTGCAATTGGATTTTCTGCAATTCTATCACATCTCATTCCACAGTAGAGCACAATTCATCAATAATTTCACGGGCGTTCCAGGGAAGAATATATCCCTTGATAAAGATGTTACGCCTCTTCCCACCCTCTCAAATGCAAGATGTGTGTTGGCGGTTTCACACGGAAACTCCTATGTATTCCACCTTATGCTTCCACCGTCGAGGCAACTCTCAATCAAAAGAGACTCGTGCAGAAATACATAAATATCCTTAAAGTTTCTCACACATGACATAGAAAATGTATGCCATTCGATATGAAGAATTCCTCTGTGACCATAAAACTTTCCTCTATGTGACATCATGTTGGAAAATATGTATCATTTCGCACATAAATGACCCAATTCTCCATTCGCACATATGCATTGTCCTATGTTCGATTTCGCATTCAACCCATCGGCCTTTTCAGAGACAGATATAGAAAACCTCTCCGGCCAGATAAACACGGAACTCATCCGGAAAATGACGTGCTAAATTCAGGCAGACTTGCTTGTTGGGCAAAGATAAAATTAGTCTTGTGTATGTGTACAAACTCAAGAATCAGGCGGTGGAACAAAGTTTTCATTAAACCGAAAACTCCTCAATGCAGACACACTGGCCGATCAGAGAAATATTGCAGTGCAATTGCTTTGTTCAATCTAAAACAGAATTGCTCTTCTGCTTATAAAATTGTGAGCACGTTCTGTGAGACGCGCGTTATATTCAATTACATTCAACATGAGGGTATTTCGTTGTCGTGTATCAAAAGCGAATAAAGTGGCTGCATCTCCAATTTTCTCCCACTCATAAATTCCTCCCATTAATCCATACGAAAGTCAAGTCGAAAATTATATGGATTATTTTGGATTTTTGGGTGGGCGAGGAATTTTCACAGGATTCAATAAAAGGCAAGCAAAAGGAAATATTTATCGTGTATGTAAATCAAATAGAGAAAATTACATGGCAATAAAATGTACATTACTCCCATATTTTGCCTACAACAATTTGTCACACGCAACTTTGAGCAACGTAAGTGATTAAATTACCTAAACTATAAATAAGTTTCGATGTATGGATCAATTCATGTTTATTTACGGACGCAACAGGTGACGATAACACTTCACAAAGCTTCAACTTTCTCTTTTTGGACAATATTTTATTTATATTAATTATCATGCGTGTCTCTATCTCCAATTTCCCGCCCTCGAAAGTTCTTTGCAGCATTCCCCAGACTTTGTGACAAGTATTGCGTGTCCTCTATCCTTACAACTGACATAGGACCATAAATACACACGATATAGCAGTGATACTCTGGTATATCCTCTGCTCAGTATTAACGTGCAATTTATTTAATTTGCAAATTATCACTCGGAGGCCGAACAGCCATCATCAGCCTATAGAATGACTGACAATTAGAATGATATACAGCAAATTTGCGTGATGCCGACGCGATATCAAATAGAAAAATACTCTTTATGCTTTGTTTGTACATCTCTTGCCATCCAAAGGCAAATATCCATCGAATGTCAAGGTAATATGAGTCTGTTTTTCCATCCAGACTCAAATTTTATGCTCAAGTAGTTACACCAAGCTTGCCCGAGAGCGTCTCAGCCCACATTTCAGCTCTGCAGCATCCCCACAACCCAGAAAACTCGATCATAAAAGGAGAGAAGCACTGGGAAAAACACCAGCAGACATTCCTCAGAGATGCCAATATTTAGTTGGGTTTGTAAACACAAATCAGTCATGGAGAAATTGTTTTTCCGAGCTATCATCCATCACTAAGGGTTATTAAATTTTTCCCTCTCATATCGATTTTCCGTGAAGACCTCAGGCCACATTCTCTGCAGTGAGCAAGGCAGTGAGTGAGTGAGGTAAGAAGAGAGAAAGCAAGGAAGCAATCTCAGCCTGTCTAGTCAATAAAATCTTCCGTAGATTTCACATCACTTTCATTAATTGAAAAGCACAATTCTTGCAATACTCATCAACGCGAGGAGTGTATAATCTAAAGCACTTGGGACAGAGCTTATTGTGTTTCTTCAAAACAATTATGTCAATATAAAATTTCTAATTATAACCAATTGTTTATCCTCTTATGTTTATCTGACTGAAAATGTAAATTGTGTTTACAAGAGAAATATACAAATTCCTTATGGGATACATTCGCCCCTTCGTAGCAGCCTCAATTGCTCAAATAAGAGTCGAAAACATTCTAATAAATGTAGGTATACCATTCACGTGAAAATGCCCAAGTTTTTCGCAGAAAAAAATTATGAACATCGTTATAAAAGGTAATCAAATGACAGAGAAAAAGTCGCTTGCCTCTTTGTCCGTCTTGTTTTATACCTATCTCTCCTTATTTGTCTGTGTCCCTCATTTTTATCTAATGTTTCCCATGAGAAGCAGAATTTTTCTCTGCTGATCCACCCATTTTATTTAGACTGGTCTCATCATTTCCTCTGTGATTGCTCGGCCTGAAAAGCATTGGGTGCGGACATTGGGACCACCGGAAAACCCCAGAGGGGACATATTAAAATTGTGATAATCCCATCTTTAGGGAATATGTGTACATTTTTATCACAAGCCATTACTTCATTTAATCTCAAAATTTATATCATCGCATCAATTATGCAGCGTGACACTCTCCCTTCACGCCTAGTGGATAAAACTTTCATTGAAAATGTTATTAATTTCGTTCGAACGGGGGTTGGACTTCTGGGAAATGTCCCAAAATCAATTGAATGCACAAGAGAGGGTCACAAATGTAATTTTTGGCCGAAATGAGGAGAATATTACTTTCTACACGAGAGTCAATGGTGAAAAAAATCAATAAATTCGCCTTAGTGTATGTTCAGAGAGTTGCCTATGTGTAATAACTGCTCCAATTTTCTCTTCTCTCGCTCTCCAGCAGAGTTTCTGAACTATTACCCCATATTCAACCTCCTCGAATCACCCCAACAGCACTCTCTGGATATCCAGCCAGAGGAACTATGTGTACATTTTGACAGCACAAGAGACGATACATACTTTCACGTAGTCATTTTATTTTATATATCGCATCGTAAGAGAGAAGAGAAATTGCACATAGACTCCATCAACGAGACAGACATTAGACTCTCTATAAAAACACCACACCATTTATTCCTGAGATCCTATCCACACTTTACCCTGAGGCTAGACAATGGGCTTTCTCATGCGCTATCAAACACTAGAATATCAGCTTGAAAAATTCAGCAAGAAGCCGGCAAGAATTTGTCAAAAACACACACCACAATCGAGTTACAATTGCGAAATTGTCACCATCATCCCTTTCGCCCTGTCCTCGACCATGCCCAATGACAAACTTTATACTTTCCAGCAGCACGACAATATCAGTGACAGTTTTAGGTTTCCCCCATGCAGTTTTATTACATATTTATGATAATTTAATTTTACATTTCTCTGCGCTACCCCTACTTCTGCGGGAGTTATAAATTTTTGAAAAACATCCTATTGACAGAGGCATGATATTCGCACATGATCATAAAAATTTCATATAGTGGAAGAATTTATGGATGAATTCATGCCACATGAACAGCGATGATAAAGAGTGTGAAAAAGTATAACAATTTGCAGTGAAATTATTTCTTAATACACCGCAACTTCCCAACAATCAATAGAACCTTCTTGCATGAATCAAATATTGACTTTTGCTGTGTGCACAGTCAATTTGTGATGTGGAAAGTGATCCAATTGGTTAGAAAAATGATTAGATTTCTCTCTCATGCCCGCAAGTGCACACATTCACGTACTGAACATAAAAATTGGCACACCCAGAAGTGACATTATGCCGTATAAGGGTTTTGCTCGGACGCCTTCAAATCTTCTAAAATGATTCTTTATGGTTGCGATATTCGAGGAAATTCTTACTCTGTGAATTGCAAAAGTTTCCATATTTTGCTCCCATTTATTCTTAAATTTCTTGATAGAATGTATTGCATTAGTTTTTTCTCTATTTTCATCTCTACAACTTTATGTGTAAGTTAAGAAATTTATGAAGACACACTCAATATCGGAAATGCGCATTTCAATATGAGAAAAGATACAAGTTTCTACTTGTATTTACTCCACAGATCACAGATTTTACAATTTCGTTGTCATAATGTATGAACATAACCTTCTGATAAGATCTGAACATGTGTTACTTTCACTGGAAATCGAATGCACTGTTTACTCCAAGATAATTTGTTAGAGATTGAAAAACGTCCAGTTCTCATTTCCATGCAAAATTGATACTTATCGAAACACGAGTTTACACTTTAATCTTGAGGCAATAGCGATGTGCCCTTTGGAATCTTACTCATTAGCATTTTAAATTATTCGATTTTGGATTTCCAGTACTTCGAAAACAAACTTTGCTGTGATTAATGGAAGTGCTTCAAAGGAAATTGAAAATATCAGGTATTCAGCACACGAGTAATTCGCAAAGCACCATAAATTGCGGGAAAATTGTCAGTAAGAAGTAGAAAAGTAAGACGAAACACGTGCCCAAAATCAAAAGATAGTTGAAATTACCGTACAAAAGACTCACGGTCTCAAGTGAAAAGGGGTCAGAAAGAATAAAGCTTCTTCGCACAAAAGGAATGTCCAATTGATTGAACTTTATTGGGGTTCTCCTGTATAAGCCATTAAGTATTAACTTATCACCTTATTGTAATCCATTCTCTATGGCATGACATTACGTATTAGGATCCCATTAGGGATTTTCGAAGAACGCAGCTGTACCTCAACTGTAATTTAGTGCATCAATCTATATGATTCCAATTTATGGCCAGACTATAACGTGGAATACATATGAAAGCTAATACGGGAAAATGTGTGCAAGATACAGAGTATAGCTGACTTTTATTAGAATACACACGAGGTTTATAGAACCTTTGAGTCATACTGAATGCAAACGTTACACTGTTTTCGTGCTGCAGGGTAAGTTTATAGTACAATATTGGCTGGAAGGTATCTGCAAAATTGTCCAAGCGTACAATTTAATTGGTGTTAAAATCTCTCGTGCTTTTGATGAACAACATGCCTGTCCATGGAGTGTGAAATGATTGATTCAGCAATAAACACCTGATATTCATAGCCACCCGTCAATGTGATGAATAGTCTACTCATTTGCCAATGTATAGTTTCTCATGCCATCAATTAGTTGTCGATTTATTTATCGATAAGCACGTAGCATTGATTTGTAGAGTGAAAAGTATTGATTGATACCTAATAATTCTGTCGCTTTTCGTGGTTTTTCACGATGAATTATTATTATCATTGCGATGCTTGTCCCTATTTCCACGTTTCTATAGCAAGAAGCCAATATGAGGGTGGATAATTGATTAATGTTATTGAGGGCACTGTTTTCCATCAATAAAACGCCAACTTAGGAAAATTGTCCCCCAAAAGCAAATGAGAATTCCTCCCCAATTCTTTGCCACAATGAAATTCCACTGAACGCGGCTTCTCATCGATCCGCAATATTGCTTTTTGACTCACCTGAGCCAACACAGAGGTGGGCATCATGTGGTTTTCTGGGGGATGGATATCACAATTCGCGTATCAAGTCTCCGAGGTGTATTGCATGACACGACAAAATAAACAATTTTCTAATTGTATAGATATTTGTCTTGGCGTCAGTTTACTGTGGCCCAAAAGCCACAAATTGCTGTCTATTTACTTAGGACGGTTCTTAGCGTCCACCATTCAGCCTATCAAGTCTTGGGAATGCGTTTCAACTGAGTTTCAGACACACTTTGCTTATAAATGTAATTCAGCCTGAAAAATCGATACAATCTGCACAGTTTTACCACAGTTTCTAGGTCAAATACTTCACAAATTGACAAAAGCCATCATATATTTCATACTGGTGGCGAAATTGCTGATTTCTAATGGAAAAATTAAGAGAGAGCTCTTAAAGTTAAATTTATAGCTTTATTTCGCGAGATATTTTCTCATTATTTTCTCCCTAACATTGGTCGCTGGCACTGAAAAAAGTAAGCAAAAAAAAAGTATCTAATAACAAAATTGTATTTGCCCAACCTCCAAAGACAATATAAGCTTGTGATGAGAACAAAAAGGTATTACAAATGTCTTTGATTCGCATCTTCAGTTGTTGAAACAAGTCACTGGAAAATTATTCAAATGATTCATTAATTTTCGAACAAAGCATTTTTCGGGACATTTTCTGTAAGAAACACAAAGCGTTCTTCTGGCCCTGTGTCAAAGGGAAAATATAATGTATTCCCACGGAAATGAAAGAGAATTTGCAAGTAATACATTTCATGATTCAAGTTGCTCTTCAGGTGGAATTTCCCCTTCCTGATTCAGGAGCCAAGAATGGATGTCACCGCCTGCCAGAGGGTATTTATCCATTTCATTAGCTCCCAGACAAGTGCACTTACTTTTGCTTCTCCGCAAATTGTGACACTCCACAGGATTATCACATCGCGGGTGGGAGGGCTGAAGGATCAGAGCGCCAGGTGGATAAATGAAAAGTCACGTGAGTGCTAGAAGAGAGAGTGAAAAGATCCTTCCCACCCACTGACTGGCGATGTTTATATAGCGAAATCGATTTCTGCACTCGGACGTAATTTACATAATCGTGTCTATATGCGGAAGACGTCAAATGGTGGAAATATCATGTCGATAATACATAAAATATACTCACAAAGGGTTCATGAACCCTTGAAAATTTTATTCACCCCTTCAATATGATGTGCAGTGTCACTGTTTGTAATCGGGAATCTTACTGCAGTAATTGAAATCTAATTTGAAAGCCTGTTACCGCTTATGTATAATTCATCACTCCCTTGTGGTGATTACGAAGGAGATTAATGAAAGCCGCAAATTACACCCGTTCTGTATCGTATTTTAATATATCAAGGAAATCACGATACGTCGCATACACCTACACTGCCTGCACATACAGTAGGTGAAAGTAAGTCAAGTAAGTCACGTGAGATACACTAAATTTCTGGGAATAGACAGAATTTAGACTCTGCACTCGGCCAGCAACAAGAATAAGTGTTCAATGGAGGAAAAAAGGTGGCGAGTGCGAAAGAAGTTGGCTCAAGCCTGGCAAAAACGAGCGAAAAGCATGATTAAACCAGCAGCTGTGTGTGGCTTGAACAAATTTCATTCTATATGTGTGATTCATATCAGCAATTACGCTTTAGTAGAACCGTGACACGTGATGTTTAGCCCTAATGCCATGCAGACTATTAGCATTTTGTATGCTCAAACAATATTGCAAATATATTCTCGAGCCAATGAATTCACCATCTCATGTTATGATATTTGCTCTTTTGCACATAAAAGGCCTATTTAGGCAGCGTACTCACCGATTCAATTTCCTTCTCGAACTTGACGGGGCGCAGACGGAAGAGGAGCACAATCACATGTATAAAATTAATCACAAGGAACACGATGGCCCACACGAAGGCATCCACTGTGCACTCCACGAGCCACCCCCACATTGCCATGAGAACACATCCGATCACAAGGACACTTCGCAGCCACAGCTGGCCGTAAGGGCCGCCGGGCGCCAGGAAGGCCACCGCCATCAGGGCATTGCCGAGCTGGTAGTAGAGATGATGCGGGCGACGTAGCGTCGGGCACGCCGCGGTCAAATCCATGCCGATCGCCCACTCCACGGGCGACGGATCCAGCCGGAAGGTCGTGTTGCTCTCCCACATCTCCTCGCCACTCACGTCCACGCTGCGCGCAACGCCATTGGCCACGTTCTGGCCAGTGGACTCCACCAGGCCCAGCGCCAGGGCGCTCAGAAGCAACATCGTGTGAGTGTCCAGAACGAAGCACTTCAATTCACACGTCCCAAGAGTCACTCGCGATCTCACATCCACAATGAGCTACGACATGACGACGCCTCGCCACCACGACAGATCTGCAAGGAAAGCGAAATTTTTATAGATCACACTGAGAGGAAAATACCGCCAAAATTTCGGCCATAAAATTCTTATTTAATGTATAGCTTCGCCAATGCTCCGCTATTTCTAACACGGCACTGCATCTCGCATTCTGCCAATTTTTTCACTATCTCCAGCTTATAAATCTCACTTTAGGTGTTTTTTGCACACCGAAAGTGAGTAATTTAGCAAACGAATGAGTGATTGCGACTGGAGACGCGCCAAGAGTGTGCTTCTATGGAGAATTTTGCGCACTTTTCGCGGCATTTGCGCCCAAAAAAAAGGCACTACACAATCAAATCCCACGGAGGCGGAATGGGACCAATTTGAGTGGATTTTCATCAATGTGTAAATTTTATGTGAACACGCCAAATAGCAAGCATGCTGGAAGACACAATCGTGGGCTTTTTTCCATGACGCCCTCACACTGCACACCAATTTCATTTCACAGTCGATCTCGAGGAATGATTATTGGTGTTCAAACAAAAGGTGAGAGATGTCGAATATCGGGCTGCGAGATCTACCAGTGAGGGAGAGAGAGAGAAATCTGCTAAAAAGCCCACATATGGAGTTTTGTCTCAGTGCCAAAAAAACATCAGTCGACTGGATGTTATGCAATCCAACCAAAAATTAAACATAGACTCAGAATTTCCACTGGAAGTCGCGCCAAAAGCGTACAAAATGCCGCTGCCACGATGCAGAGACTGGAGAAGCAAACACTCGCAATCGCTCGATTACAGCAATAATGCTTAAGTAATGAGCGATGATAAAAACGCTTTTAAGACACACATTTTCGCTGGCTAAAGAAGGAATAGCAATGAAGGCCTTTAATCACCGACCAAGTTTGACCCATATCATATGAAAAACTAAAGCCGATACAGCACCAGATAGACTCTGAGTCACTTTGCTCAGGTATTGCTAATGATACTAACGCGACACATATCCGGTTCGGTGACTTTTTGCCATGTTCTTTGGCAAACCGCGAAATACTACGCAAATTTTCCAAATTGTAACAACAAACACGAGATTTTCTGCTGGCATTTATGTGGATCAAATTTGAATGTCGAGCTTCAACGCTGATAGAGATTTTAGCAGATTTTTCTTGTATTCCTACTACTTTAAAAAAAATCTATTAACGGGTTTTAAGTGATACACAATCTACGCTTAAATCAATTGTAAATAAATAAAATTCTATGTCTATTGTTCTTTCCATGATGATGATTGTAATTATTGCGTTGCTGTTAAAACACTTTTGTCACGCTACTGTAATCACACTCGATGAAAGAATGGAGCGATAATTGAGACGCGAGAAGGATTTATCTCTCCGCGAAGGACGGAAATGTGGATAAAATTGACGTGTTATCAGGATTTCACCCTCTTTGACGATGCTTATCGATTCCTTGAGGCCCAAAGAAGCAGAATTGTCTATAAACATGCATTGTCCTCTGCTCGGCAGATTTTCCGCCTCGGGGAATCATGCTGTCGATTAGGGGTGTGTTTTTCGGGAGGGCGAGTGCGAGAGTCAGTCTGTACACAACCCCTTCTCGTGCCCCGAGGGTCGCACTGTTCAGCTGTGCTGCATTTTGCACAAATTTAGCATTCACCGCGGAAAAATCAATAAAACACACACCAAATATCCAACTTGCCAACTCCTTCCATGCAGAATTAAATTGCTTACCGCATTCACAATTGCCCGTGCGATCAGAGTGGAAAATCCTCCTTGGCCCGTTCACCAGTCACGCAGAATTGCACCCAAAATTTTCCAAGGGGATGAATTGCTGCTCCACCAACGTCTCAGGGAAATGAGCGTGTCGCAAACTGAGAATTTCATACACTACTTCACACTCGGCGCTTCACAATGGGAGTCTCTCGCACAGCAATTTTCATTACACATTCTACGCTTTCTTGCTGCAATTTCAGAGATTAATTACTTTTGGATGCTATTTTCACTCTCAATACTCCGTCATTGCGCTCACGAAACACTCCTCACGCCACCGCAGACCACTTGATACTGACTGAGCGGAGAAGTCTGACACTGGACTGCAGAGACCCTGGCGAGTAGTCTCGCAATTGCGCTGGAGCTTGCGTATCTGTTATACGAAGAGTGCTACATGGAAAGCGCTGCGAAGACGGATAAAGCCCAAATTCGAAATGTGTTGGAGCAACAGACACTGGAAGAATAATTCCATAAAATTATTAATGTTTTACAAGTTCCACGAAATTCTGTAAGTCACATTTTTCTTCCTAAAATTTTCCGTGTGTGATTTTTTCTCTACACTTTTCACATCCATAAAAAATTCTGGATTAACTTACTAAAACATATACAAATGAACAATGTCCACAATGATCACCTCGAGATCATACTTCTGAAATATCTTAGACAAGGTTTTAAATTCTTAAATATTACATACTCTGTATTTCAAGCATTAATTGCAGTCCTTAACCCTTTCATCACCTCATTTTTTCTTTTCATTTTTACAACCTTCAAAATTTCTCAGCAGATATACATGAATTTATCAATATTTTGACATATTGACAAGTAAAATACATACCAAATATTGTGAAAAAAAACTCCAGAATGTTATCTCTTCCTGGAGAATTCCACCCATTACAGTCAAGATCTTTCCAGAAACACACAAATGAAAATTTCACGATACAAAAAGTCCTTGATAAACAAATGCCTCAAGCCAGAATTCGACAATATCCACGCTAATCACTTAAACATTGCATGTTTTTCAAATATCGAGGGTTGGATTTCGGTGGCAAACACACTTCTTTACTCTCCATGCGAAGGAGAATTGCAGAAAAAAGGGGAGAAAAACACAATTTGTCAGAGATGCATTAAAATATCTTCGAACACATGTGCTTATCGATCGTTTTTTCTTCCTTTCAACTCCTTTCTGAAGGCACATGCCTCGGCTTTTTCAATGCCATCCAAGCGCGAAGAGTAAACAGCAGAGACGTGGTGATGAAGTTAATGGCAGAAAAATTAGGCGCGATGGAATAAAAGTAGCTCTGACGAGAGTCAAAGTATGATAAATAATAATTTAACAAGGAAAATGTGGAAAAAATTGAAAAGAATGTCGCAGGAATTTAAACAACCATTTCTTTTATCTCTGCCATTCCATCCACTTGTTGCATTTGCTATTAAACGATAAATAAATGTGCGTTAAGTGAATTGTCGTGTTTATGTATTAGAAAAAGAGATTCTTTTCTAGACTGTAGGACGAGGAATTCGAACAGCAAGTATTTATTTTTCTTTAAAAGCCCCAAATACTGAGTGTAATTTATTTGATTAGGACTCCCTAAACAGCGAAGCATGAGAAAATGAGGAAAAACAGAGAGCGGCACATGCAATTGCTGGCCTCATCACAAAAACCGTCTTATTTGAGCGCAGTCCAATTAATGCCGTCAATTTGCAAGTCTCCCAATTGATGGACCAGACTTTATTCACATCACAATCATGAGTCTCACTGCATTTCATAGTTTGAAATGCGTGCACTCTTTCATTTTCATCAGAGATATAATTTAGAAAAGGATTAAGAGAGTTTCACACAACTATTCTATAGTTTCACGCAACCACATTCGCTATTCAATGTTTCTCTATCGATCGCAAATCCTCTAAAAATGCCATTTCATTGGGAAATGTCGAGGTTCCACTCGAGATGCGGCACATATAACGCATTGGCAAACGGGAAACTGCATAAAATTCATTGAGAATTTTTTCTCCATGGGAAAAGTAATTTTCGCAAACAATTAGCTCGCGTCGTTCCGCGAATGTGCATTGTATGGTCAGCGGGATCGGGGGCGGGTAATTTCATTTTATGAATGAACGTTTCGCTGCAATTTTGCGGCGATCTCCAACGGTCAGCTCTCGTAGGGGAAATGCTAGAAGTAATTTACTGGGTGCTCAACACGATGCTTAAATTGTATTAAATTCGTATGCTGGAAACCCCATTTGAAGCGCGATCACTGAGCCTCGCACGCTTCAGAAACTGCCTCCGAGAGTCAGTTGGAGTGCGACCGTCGTCGTGGTAGCTCAGAGAATTCCTCAAAGCGGACGCTAAAGACTGCAAGGTTGCTTTTTTAGAGAGGGAAAGACTCAAAAGTGCCAGTGACATGATCAGGATTATTAGGATTACATTGTGCTGAAGCTGAGGGTGATCTTGAGTGTGAGACTTGGTGATCTTCAAAATGACTCTCGAACTCACCCTCTGACAGTGTGGATTTTTTCTATGTGAGACACTCCTTTCGCCGAGAAACAGGTGCTTGAATGGAATTGATTACGATATTTATGTGCATTTGCTGCCACTAGAAGTTCTGTGGGTGATACACTGTGAGGAATATTCGAAAAAGTGACCGGGAAAATGATGGTGAGAAAAAGGGGTGAATATTTTTCACTCTTGAGCTGTTTTCTCCTCATTCCGGTGATCGCCCTTCGACTTCCCACCGCTTCTGCTGACCAGTCGAGAGATCGCCACAAGACTCTCACCAGCGAGATCGTATCGTCGAGACATATCCAGGATCAGTGTGTCCACAAGTGTCCCGAACAGGTGACTAAATCCCCCAAAATCTCTCTCATTCTAACAAGCTGTAGCGCAATTTTCGCCACAAATTGCCGCAGAGATCTCGAGTGCCAGCATCGTATGTGCTGAGCGCTGGTGTGTTTGTTATTGAGGCGAAAGAAAATATATAAACGAATCAGAGATTAAGATTAAAAGCTCTTACGTTTGCCCTTTGTAATCAATTTATTCAATTAAATGCTTTGTGGGACGAATAAAAAATTATTCTTGACAGAATGTATCATTTTAGCTCGCGATGACTTGTATTGAGATTACTAAATAAGCACATCACAATGGAGATTTACTCGCCCAGTCGTCGCGGAATTGCATGGAAAATCTCTTTGGACAGTTCATTAAATTCAACCGTAAATGCTCTGGCTCGAGTGAAATCACTTTTATGCTCGCGATGATGGCGATAGGAAAGAAATCATCAACACATGTTTCATTAGTTTTCTACTGATTAAATTCTCTGAGCGGGAAAAAGCTGGAAATTTATGTGAATTTCAATACAAAACACTGAGAGAAATTCATCGATATTGTTCATTAGTCGCAAAATGTCACGTAAATCTCTCCTCTCAGTGCATCACAAGCGCATGGCTTTGCTGCATGGCTGTTGAGCGATTTTTCAAAAGAAGATCATCTCGCGAGCTGTTGAAAATCGAATAGAAATCATCGTTTTCTACCCAGCGAGTTGATAATTTCTCACAACAAAATACAAACTCGATGGAAAAAAGGAGAGGCAAAGGTTGTGACTTTTAGCCGGGATTTGTTTTTGTACTTCAGCTGATCTCGCCTTAAATATTTACTGGCTTTTGTGGTATTTCTGTACATAATGCGTCTGATTTGACACAAAAATGTCCAGAAAAAGAGGCTCCAGGCCATTTAGGAAGGAAAAAAACTGTGATTAGACTATAAGAGTGATTTTTGCACAAGAGACGTCAATGGGTTGAATGTTAAGAGGCGTGGTGAAAAAATCACCAAAAACGCCGCCGCACTTTGATAGTCTCGAGTAGCTTATTTTGGAGATAGAAAAATATTAATTATACAATAAAGTTGACTTCTTGGGACAACGGAAAAAGTGGAGAGTGATAAGATGTGGCGTTTGTCTGATGCTTTTTCGAATGTGAACTCTCCGCACAATTTCTCTCTACGCGTGTTTCAAATTATTCTGACAGATTTTCCATCCGCGGACACGAAAAAACCCAGCTAAAAAAGAGTTTAATGAGTATTGAATTCTCAGCATATGGTTATTTCTCAATGAGACGAGAGAGATCTTTGATACGAAATTTGTTATTTTCACACCCTTCCAAGGAGATAAAGCGTCACAAACTATGTGGCAAGTGTAGTACAACAAGGTTTTTGTGATGTAATTAAAGAATTTATGAGTTAGTGTCCAAAACAGAGCGTCTGTTCTCTAATTACGCATCAACTGGCGATGAATTTGTGACACATTTCATTTAATTCTCACAGTGGAAAAATGAAGAAGATTTGGGCCCCCAAAAAACTGCACACCATATGAGCAGCCACTTTGCAAAGTGCTCGGCAGCACAGCGATTAGGAGAGCTTAGACAAGGCAGAAATTTTAATTATTTAATAGTTCCATGGGCGATGAGCTTGTCACATTGTCTGGGATGGCATTTAATACGGAAATAGCACAATTTGTCGTGTTTGCGAGAGCGAGAAAATTGTCCGGTGATCAGTTGGTGTGTGCCTCTTCCAAGAGTTGCAATCATCTGATTCCAGGGGCTGAATAAATTCATCTCACTGGTGGGCGGATGGAGGATCCGCGAGCTTGCAAAACTTGCAATCCACAATAGATCGCCGTGGCGTCGAAAAGAGCCACCGTGCGGAGTTTGCTCTATTTGTGAGCATTGTCTGAGTGCCTTTTGTCATACCATTTGCATACCACTCATGGAGAGTTCGTTCAGCTTCTGCCTCCCCAGAATCTCTTTGTTTGTCCATTCACACCCAACAATGCTTGGTCGCTGATTGAGCGCGGTTTTTTCTACATTGAAATGACCTTCGCCGCCTGACGAATTGCTCTTCCTTCGCGGGCCTCTTCAGGACATGAAATTCCTCCGCTATCTGAGGGGACAGGAAGGGATTTTGTACCTGTTGTTCCACGTCAATTACGCCCAATTAACTCCTTGCCAGTCACTTCCGCACTCGAACCCCAGGCGACCGTAAACCCCGAGGGGAGTTCCGCTGCGGTGATGGTACGCTCCTGATTCCCAACACACCTCGCTGACTTTCTACCTGTTCACCGTGCTTTTTACAACACCGCGCCGATGTATTGTCCAAAAATACTGTATCTCACAGGCCAACACAGAGCCAAGCGCCAACAAACACACGGCAATGAGAACAGGAAGGATGTATCCGGTAATTTTCATCGTGGACCGTAATTACTGATCACCGCATGCTTCATATACATATTCTCCCTCTCACTCC